AGTTTTTCTTTGATCTTATTATATATGTCTTTGTTCTGGAAGTCTTGGATTTGACTGATCTTTTGTCTTCTTGCTTCTGGTTGGTAAAGCCACAGGCTTCCTGTTATTGGATTTGCTGTTTAGAAAGGAAGAAGAGAGGACTAGGGAAAAGAGAATTGCTGTTGAGTAATTTTCCCTTAATCCCCTTACTTTGTAAGTGTGGGACCAGATTATGCCCAATGTATCAGTATGTGTTTATTTTCTTGAATCCAGAAATGTGTTAGTTGCCTTATAGAACAAATAGCAGACACAGTCCCTGCCCCAAGGAGCTTGCACTCTACATTAGATTTTACAATCTAAATTAAAACTATATTGACTTGAGTGCCTATGTAACTAGAGACTCGCACCTGCTTAACACCGGGGCTGAATTTGGCCCATGTCCTCTCTGTTGGGGCACTTTACATTTCCAAAGCATTGCATATGAGGTTTTAGTCAAACATCTCTCATTGCTGTCCATGAAGTGTCACATAGCTGAAATCCTACATAGCAATCTGAAGATTTTCTTCTGATTTTTCTCCCCCGAGGAGACACTTGACAGTAACTGTTCCAGTAGGCATTGCTAAAAGGCTTTTTACTACAGTATGAACAATCGGAAAAAAGAACTTGTAACCAAACTGATCACTTAACTTTCCTGTTTCTGGGAAAATACTTGAGATCAACATTGACAAATGAACTAGAAGGAAGAGATTTTCTGAAAGTCCACATTTCATTCCACCCCCGGATTTCTCAGGGGATGCACAACTAAGCCTGCAGGAAACCACAAGTGAAGAAATTTAAAAAAACAAAACAAAGCCAAAGAATAAAAAGTAGGGACTTTCTAGAGGCAAAGCCAAGATGGCTTTACAGGAGGATCTCTGTTCCCACTGCTTGTGATGTGGGAAAATCCCAATTTAGAAGAACTCCTGTGCAAAAACTAGAAATGGACAGAAAAAAAAATATGGAGACATGAAAATATTTTAGCCCCTAACACCAGGACCTAATACCAGCACCTAACACAGAGCTGGCCCCTCTAACACCTGCAACCAAGGAGACAACAGCGGGTGAAGCAGCAGACCACTCTCATAGGCAGATATAATGCATTCTTTGGAACCACACACATTCTGACTTAGATTAATGAGAGAGGATCTGCAAATCATCATTACAGACTTCAGCTCAGACGTGCATGAAATAAATATTTGGTTGCTAATAAAAAGGGTTTTAACAACCAGTGCAACTTTGGATTTATAGTTTAAAGCAGGTGGAGACAAGAAAAAAGAAACGTACTGTACTGATAGAAGAGATGTAGGAAAGGCCCTGAAGAGATCTTATGAACTAGGTCCAATTAATTTTCAGGCATATCCTGGAAGAAAACATGGATAATACAATAAAAAATAAAGCTTATTTTCAGAAGTGCTAGTACAGCTAAAGGCAAAGGGAAAATCAATAAATCAGCATTCAGCAGAGTGAAGGGGAATGCAGGGTGCAGCAGGGAAAAGGAGCAGAATGTGGGGTTCAGGAAGAAGACTGGGGGATAGAGCAATATGGAGGCAGACAAGGAGATTGACAGGGATGCAAGGAAACATTGGGGTGCATAAGAATAGGGCCAGAGAGAGAAGATATGAGGGGTAGGAGACTCTGAAGTGAAAGTCTTGGGGAGTAGGTAAATATAGGTGTGTGGCTATGGAACAAGAGACTGGTCAGGAAACATAAAGAGATAGTGTGGAGGGGGGTGACCTGAGTGAGGGACAGCAAGAGAGATGGAGTGGGGAGAGCTGAGAAGATAGAGCAGGAAGCAGGAGAGTGATATGGGAAGGAGCATTGAGACATCAGTTACTGCTACAGGACACCAATATCTTGGCTGTCCTTAGTGGGTGCAGAAGAGTCTGGCTGGTGTATCATAGACTCTGAGGTCAGAAAGGACCATTGTGATCATTTAGTCTGACCCCTTGCGCATCACAGGTCACACACAACCTCTCCCACCCACTCTTATGATAGACTCGTAACCTTTGGCTGAGTTATCAACAGAGCTGGTAACCTTGCTTGAAGCTCCAAAGTACTAACTGGGCAATAGCATTATTGTTTGAAAGGGGCTGATGCTGTAACATTGATGCTGACTGGTGTCATTATGCTGAGAAGTCTTGGCACCAGGATGCCAGCAGCTAAGCACCAACAGCACATAATCATTCAGACTATCTGGAGTAGATTTTAACGTAGATCAGACTTTTTGCAGCTCATTGTTTTTCACCTCAAAACAGATTTGACAATATTGGACCCTCTTGTTAAACATTAATAGGCATAAATAACAATCCCCTAGGGTGTAGATCAGTGGTTTTCAACCTGTGAGTAGCGCTCCAGTGCTGGGTCATGGAATGCAAGGCACTGGGTCACGGTGGCTCTGGTCAGCACCGCCAACTGGGCCATTAAAAATCCTATCGGCGGTGCTGCATGGCTAAGTCAGGCTAGTCCCTACCTGTTCTGACACCACGCTGTGCCCCGGAAGCAGCCAGCAGCAGGTCCAGCTCCTAGGCAGGGGGGCCACAGGGCTCCGCGTGCTGCCCCTGCCCTGAGCACCAGCTCCGCACTTCCCAGCCAATGGGAGCTGGGGGGGAGGGGGAGGTGCCTCCAGGTGAGAGCTTCTCAGAGCCGTACCTGCTGCTTCCAGGACGCAGTGCGGTCCACGGTGCCAGGACAGGCAGGAAGCCTCCTTTAGCAGCACCACTGCGCCGCTGACCGGGAGCCGCCCGAGGTAAGCCTGCGCCCCAATATCCTGCCCCAGCCCTGAGTCCCCCCAAACCCAGAGCCCCTTCCTGCACCCCAAATCCCTCAACCCTGGCCTCACCCCAGAGTCTGCATGCCCAACCAAGCTCTTGTTTTTCTCCTCCTTTGGTGTAAGAATATTAAGGTGCATTGAACTTTTTACATGTTTAAAAATGAGAAAAAAGCATATATGCGTATGTAATATGTGCTTTATATTGTTATATAGTCTATTTAATCCATGCATAATTTAAATTTTAAAAAGAGATTATTCCAAAGCCAGCCTCCTAATCCAAATACCTCCCAAACTCTGTGTGGACGTTTTGCTCCAGAACTGAAATTTGTTGCAAGCCTCTGTCTGAATCAGGGCGGCTCCAGGCACCAGCCCAGCAAGCAGGTGCTTGGGGCGGCCAAGGGGAAGGGGCAGCACGTCGGGCTCTTCAGCGGCAATTCGGCGGCGGGTCCCTCTCGGAGGGAAGGACCTGCTGCCGAATTGCCGCCCAAGAAGAAAGCGGCGCAGTTGAGCTGCCGCCGATTGCGATCGCGGCTTTTTTTTTTTTTTTTTTTTTTTTCCGTCACTTGGGGTGGCAAAAACCCTGGAGCCGGCCCTGGTCTGAATGAAAACCCCAAATATACCTGAACTTTGGAGATGTTTGTGTCCAGATAGAACCCTTGAGGCTGATAGCCCAAGTCTGTCAAAAATATAGAAAAATGCTTTTGATTAGATCTTTTTGAGAGATTTCTTTTCAGCTTCAGTTGTGTTTTCCTCTTTAGCTTTTCTCAAAAATGCTGATGCAGAATATGTAAGCCCAATGGGACAAGGCTTCTCAAATATTGGATGATAAAAGTAGTGTCAGGAAGCAGATCTCTTCCCAGGCATGCCACACACCAATTATTATGTAAAGGAACAGCAACACAACAGTACATTTTTTCAGCTGAAGTACAGACAGTGCCATTTCAGTCACATCCAGGGGCCCCTGAAGACCTGTTCAATTGGGGTCGCCCATTTACTTATTCTCCTGCAAGACTTATAAACAATTTGTTGTTTTGTGTTTTATCGCACAAAGCCCAATGACAGCTATACAATTTAGACTGAAATTAGATAGTCCCTATAGTCCTATTGCTTACAAGAAGTAAACAAAAAGGAACCTTCTTGTCACCTATCATTAAGTATCTCCCTGAGTGCAACTTAAGTAGGGAGAATGTATAAATATAGGCCAGCAAGACAGCTCCAGAAAGTTCTGGTGAGGCCAGAGACTTTTCAAGCAGGGGTTTCTTGACGTGGCAGTCTACAGTACAGTTGGCTCATTTACTCCTTAGGTAGTGTGGTGTAGAAGGTGTGAATGTTCATGTCATGCTCTCCCTGCATGGTTCCCTGGAACAGCAGGTTTCACAGCTTGTGTGAGCTGATTCTGAACATGTGGTGCATCTGGAAGCAAAATATTTCAGTGAGGGAAACTAAAAATTCATTGGTTTGGAAACGGTTAGCTATACCTACTACTCCCTACAGCCTTTTGCACATTTTCTAATGTGTAGTCTCTGTTCTCCTTGTAAGTGAATATTAAGTCAAGATTTTTGAAAACACTGGATTTTTCCTCCTTTCTCCCAATCAAGACGGATTTCAGATAGTCCTGTCTTAGCAAGGGTTTCAGTAAATTATAACACACTGGCATTCTGCAGAAAACCCCTCCCAAAACCTCTTACAGTTGATCTGCATTGAAGAAAGATATTTTTAGCAGCTGTCTTTGAAAATGGGGCCTCTCACCGGACTGAATTCCCTAGAAGTCATCAATAAGTATAGAATTGTTTGCAATGAGGTAATGCAGGTGGGTTTTAGAAATAGATTTGCTGAACAGTTACCCAAACTTCTTCAGCGATGAGCTCAAACAGTCTTTTACATGCATATAACATTGCCACATAAATCACGGCATCATGAAGTTTGTGAAGAATGTATTTTCCATCCTTTTATGATAAAGGACTTGATCCAGTAAGGTGCTGAGCACTCTGCCACTGTTGCGTCAAGCACTTAAGCTTGAATCAAGCACATGATGGCAGTAGTTACATTGGCTTTAGAATTGAAATTAAACAGGTTTGTAAGAGTTTTGCTGAGTCAAGATCAGAGTGCTCCGCACTTTGTAGGGTCAAGCCAGTAGTGGGCAAAAATGTGTAGAATGATGATCAGAAAAAGTTTAATAATTGTTTTCTTCTTTTCTGTCTTCCTGTTACAGATCCTACTTAGATATGTATAAAGTGATAATATTTAGTTACCTCTTCTGGTTTGTGCTTACTATCATCTTCATCACGGGAACTACAAGAATCAGCATATTTTGTATGGGTTACTTGGTGGCCTGTTTCTATTTCCTGCTCTTTGGTGGTGATCTATTATTGAAACCTATCAGAAGCATTCTACGTTATTGGGACTGGCTGATTGCATACAATGTCTTTGTGATTACAATGAAAAACATACTGTCGGTAAGTGGCTGCATCTATAGTTTCAGTGCTGAACGCTTTTGTGGTTTAACTGCAAAAGTGTGCAGTCATTAAGCCGTCATAAAACGTTCCTTTCAGCATCACAAAATTGTACTAATGCCTGCAAGAGTCTTCTGTGTTTCATTCAGAAACTGCAAATGTGGTATCCAAAATTACTATGGGTTTATATATTATAAGAAAATTTGTACCTATTTTGCTCAATCCAACTGTCTGAAAGTTCACAAGGTGAGAAGCAATTCTCAAAGAGCCAAATCCTGAATTCTTTACTTGGGAAAGCTCTCCTTTGCAGTCTGTAGAAGCTTTGTGTGAGTAAGAAGTCTGTAAGGACTACAAGGTTAGGTCCACAATGAATAGAGTGTTTGTGTCATTATGGTATTTAATTATAATTGGCATTTTGGAGCCATTGGGCAGTCATCATGCTAAGTGTTGTAGTTTCTGACACTGAGAATATGGGAGCCTGATGCAAGAGATGGCAAACCAGCTTCTAGTTTCCTTTAATTCTGGTCTAAGTTTCGATTGACAACGTCAATATTTAATTCTTTAAGGCTTTATTTAAATATTAAGGTTCTTTTTATGAATGTTAAACCATTAGTTAGAGAACACTCCTATGATGCCTTTGATAGGCTGAGAAAAGCCAATAATTTAAAATGTTATAAAATATAACTTTAAATGTATTTTTGGCAATTGTAGCTTACCTTTGAACATTTTTACTGCTGGACTGAGAAAAAACAAGCATTTTTCATTTTAAATATATATAAATCAACATGTTGAAACAAGACTGATTTGTTGGTCACCTGATTTTACAAATACTCTAAAATGCTTACATATGTGCTTAATTTTATGCAGGTGCATTCAATGGGATTACAGATGTGTAATGTTAAGTATGTTCATAAATGCTTGCAGAATCAGGTGACCAATCTATAACAGTTGTTTAAACTGTCAACTTGTGTCACACTGCAAATGTATCATGCCCTAACCAAAAAAAGCAAAGGGAGTTTTAAAAAAACAAACCAACCCCAAATCCCACACTACAAGAGGCAGAAATAGTTGTTTTATTTTTTTAAATGGTATATCTCAGTGACAAAGAAATATATTCTTTATTTAGTCTCTTTCATTTTATTTATAATGCAGATGTGTAACTGTTAGCAGTCACATTTTTATGTAACTGTGACAGATATTGCAACCCCATGAAATACCTTTGGGGACTATTGTATTAAATCTATGAATGGTTTATATATGATTGTGTTCTGTTCCATGAAGGAGGGTTGCCACAGCTCCTCCAAGCACTAAAAACAATGGTAGGTGATAAAGGTGAATCACTGAGTCTAAATAACTTTACAGAAGTACCACCGTCTGGAGTGGTTTGCATATACAGGTTCAAGCTGGGTTTCCAGAGACCAACAGACAAAGAAAGCACTTTTGAAGTACCTTCTTTCTGATCCAGCAAACGGAGGAGGCCTTCTGTCCCAGGGGAGCCCCAACCCTTGTGGAAAGGCTGAAAAGACTTTGGTCCACTAAGGCCCCCTAAGACTGATTGGTGACTCATGGTATGTTTAGCATGTGGAATGGAACACAGAGAGGGACATACAGATGCAGCCACCCTGGAACTGTGACAGTAACATAAACAGATGTGCTAACAGTCTTATCACTAGTTTCTTCTGATCTTTATATATCTCTTCATTTGCTTTTCAGATAGGAGCATGTGGCTACATTGAGTCATTAATTCGAAACAGTTGCTGGTTGATTCAAGCATTTAGCCTGGCTTGTACTGTTAAAGGATACCATCAACGTAAGTGCAGTTAGATTTTTTTCAATGCTTTTCTATAAATAAAGGTTAACTACATTTAGGCTCCTTTCAAAATTTCAGACAAATGTATTTTTCCCTTTACTGATTTGATATCTTGATTAAAAAAAATATATAATGTGAACTAAATTAGGTATGGTCTAGGAGATAAATAGACTAACATGATCAAATACTGCATAAAACTGAGTGCTATCTACTGTATATACAGTGATAACTATTTTTTTAAAATCAGTATTTGGCAAAAGATAACAAATACTGATAACATATCTCAGATTTACCTGTAATGTCTGTGCCTAGTGGTTTGCACATGTTGATTTTTTTTTAATGGTTTCTACTGTAAAACAGTAGAACATAGAATTCTATGAAATTTTAATGGCTGAACCTGTGTCCTGCCTAGGAATTCTGCTGCAAAGTTGTTGTTTTCTGTTTCAAATTTTTTTTGTTTGTTTTTTTCTGATCTAAATAGGCAAAGGATATGCAAAGGCAATTCACCAAATAAAATTACATACAATGCAGCCCTGCTTATGCAAAAGTTTTGAGTGGCAACAGAAACCTCTCTGGGGCTTGCAAAAATCAAGATGGTTCATGCAACAAGCTTTGAAACTCCAACTTGGAGCATGGACTTCAAAACCTCGTAGGCTGGCTTCTCTGATTTTAGAGCAAGCCAGCTCTGATGCACAGGCTGCACTCCTCATCCTCTAACTCCAGAGTCCTGTCCAGCTTCCCCAAGGCCAGCTAACTCTGCAGGTGGAATTTACACTCTGGGTCCACAAAGCCTAGGTTTAGTTCTGTGATATCCAAAAAGTAACTCCTTATATAAAAAAAATAAAATACAGCATCCATCAGATGGAATTGTACATTTCAGTTATCTTAAGAAAAACAATTTACAGGCCCAAAAAGGCTTTTCAGAACACTGGCTTATTTCCATTGGGCAGAATGGAGATGGGCTCACATATTTAAGAAGATGATCATCCTTATGTTGGTGATTTCTGTTTGTTTTTATAAGCTAAAGAAACTGGAGACTGTAAACTGCCTAGCGGTGAGGCGGGAATTATTTGGGACAGTATATGCTTTGCTTTCCTGCTGCTGCAAAGAAGAGTCTTCATGAGCTACTACTTCCTACATGTGGTTGCTGATATAAAAGCTTCACAGATCCTGGCATCAAGGTAACATTCAGTGTAATAACAGAAACTGATTAAACCCAAATCCTTCATTATTAGGTATGTTTTTATTATTATTTATATTGAGTATTGCCAATAAAGTGGCTGACAAACCCAAGCTCCGGACACTTTGACATAAGTTTGACTATTCCACAATCGATACCAAATAAAAATTGCAAACACATTTCTTCCTCTAAAGGGGAATTCTGTCTGGCTGCTCATATTGGCTACCCATGAAGGAAAAGCCAGCAAAAGGCCTCTGAATCAGATGCTATAGGACTCTCTGCTTTCTGCACTTGGATGAATTTTACTGAATGTGCCCAAGGCTGCTTGTGCTTCATTTTGTAGCTGTCTCTGTGACCCTTTCCCTTTCTCATACAGCTCAGCCAAGCCAAGATATAGTCATGCAGTGTATGTTTAGAGTAAAGCTAGCTCAAACCAAAATCTTGGATAATAACATCCTCCCCAAGTTGGAAACGTTTAAATGGAGAGTGAAAGGATGGTCTAGTGCAGGGGTGGGCAAACTATGGCCCGCGGGCTGGATCCGGCCTCTCAGGGCTTTGGATCCGGCCCGCGGGATTGCCCCCCGTGGTGCCGCGGGCCCTGTGCTGCTCTCAGCAGAGGCTGGCCCAACTTCCCTGCGGCCCCCGGGCCCTTGCCTCCAAGCACCACCCCCACAGCTCCCATTGGCTGGGAATGGGGAACTGTGGCCAATGGGAGCTTCGGGGGAGGTACCTGGAGGTGTGGCAAGGACAGCGCACGCGGAGGCCTCCACTTCCCCTCCCCCAGGGGCTGCAGCACTTCCTGGAGCGGCACGGGGCTGGGGCTGGGGACAGGGCAGGCATGCAGGGAGCCTGCCCTGGCCCCGGTGTGTGCCACTGCCACCCTGCACCCCTCCTGCACCCCAACTCCCTGCCCTGAGCCCCCTCGTAAACCCTGCATCCCTTCTGCACCCCAACCCCCTGCCCTGACCCCCCTCCTGCACCCCTGCCCTGAGCCCCCTCCTGCACTCCACACCCCTCCTGCACCCCAACCTCCTGCCCTCAGCCCCCTCATACACCCCGCACTCCTCCTCTGCCCCAATCCCTTGCCCCGAGCCTGCACACCGCATCCCCTCCCACACCTCGCACTCCCTCCCGCACCCCAACCCCCTGCCCCGGTCCTGCATACAATTTCCTCACCCAGGTGTGGCCCTCGGCCCAAAAAGTTTGCCCACCCCTGGTCTAGTGAATAGGGAGATATTGTCAGTTCACACTTGTGCCTGTGTAGCCTTGGGCAAGTCACTTAATCTACCTAATGCTTTAATTCCTCAGCTGTAAAAATGAGGATAATACTTCCCTATGTCACAGGGATGTCATTGGGATAAAATCTATAAATAATTGTGAGGCATTGAGATATTACGGTGATGAGGGCCATATACATTGTTAGATAGAGTTGAACTTCAGAGCTGCGCACTTGCGTCACTAAAATCTGAGATCTAAACATTCTTGAACTTTGGGGAAGTTTAGATTTGGATCCAAACTTTATGACCTGAGCCCATCTTTAGTTCACAGTTAACATTATGAAACATACAGTCCTGACCCAGAGAAGATTAAATTGTCAGTAGACAATTGCAATGTGTCTCTGAAGCCAGATGGTATTCATCCAAAAGTCTAGGCATTTAAAAATGAAGTGGTTGAGTTGCTATGAACAATATGCACTTCCTATTAAAATAATCTACTGTACTACAGAACTGACACGGTATGCCAGTATTGTACCTATTTTTTTAAAAGTGCATGTGGTTATCCTGGGAATTACACATAAATGAGGCTCATTTCAGTACCAGATAAACTGGTTAAAAAATTAATTAAAATGGACTTACGAAACCTCGACATGTCTGCACACTGCAGTGTTGACAAACAAGCATGGCTTTTATAAAGGCCTCTAGTGCACTAAAACTCTCTGAGAGAGTCAACAACAACAAAAGGAGGTACAATAAACACAATTTATTTTGACTTTCAAAATACCTTTGATAAAGTCCTTCATGAGAGCAAAGCTAAGCAACTGGGCAACACAGTGGCAGATAAAATTCAGCATAGGCAAGTGCAAAATACTGGTGATATGCGTCAAGAAATTGTTTAAACTAATACACACTGGTGGATTGTAAATTAACTCTAGCCATTTTGTTACCCCCTAACTAACTGAGGTTCAAGTATGCCTCCAGATTGGAGGTGGAACACATACTCATTTGACGAATCATACGCATTTGCATTTTGTGTTGTGAGTATGAAGCATGTGCTGTACTCACTGAAGCCTAGGCAGGCAGAACTCCACCCACTCAAAGGTGGAGCTCCCCATGCTAGACAAGAGGATTTAATGTATGCCATAGTTTACAAGTAAAGGATCAAATTCTGCAGTTGTGCAAGGAATTCTCACTCAGGCTTTGACTTTGAGTCCTTGAGGACAGTGAACCCAAGCACCTGGATAATGACTGCTGTAACTAAATGGTTGAGTAGTGACTGTAGGATTTGGCCCAAAATCTGGTAATGATTGCTGGAAAACAAATGAATTATTATGCTGTGATTGCTCATCATTTTTGTACTGGCCTTCTGATGGTAGTGGTTTGTCTCAGACTATTTAAGTTGTTTATAAAGTAAGCGTCTCTCTGTGTTTTACTTGCCATAAAGGGAATGTAGAAGCATAACAGTGTTACATTTCCCCCCTATTTCTTCTGTAGAGGCGCTGAACTTTTCCAGGCCACAATTGTCAAGGCAGTAAAGGCAAGAATTGAAGAAGAGAAAAAATCAATGGATCAATTGAAGAGACAGTATGGATTATTATTTATTATATTTATTTCACTGGTTACTTCTACTCTACAGCATATTAACCCTTTTCTGGGAGCCTGAAGTGGTATTTCTTTTGCATTCTTCTAGTCTTCTAAAGAAGCCTTTCCTACTTCTCTGCATATTATTGCACACAACCAAACAAGTGCTTATATGTTGGTTTGGTTTTTTTGAAATACAATTTCTTGATTATAGAAATTATATTCTGTAAATTGAGAGCCTTCACGTATTCCACTATTCTGTGGCTGCAGAATCCACCCTTTGCTACACAATTAGCCCAAAGGATCTACGTTTTCATTTTAAAATAAAATTGTCTTTCTATAACTAATGGTTGTGCAAATAACCTTTAAAATGTGAACAAAATGTAAACCAGTGCAATATTGACTTCCTTAGTCTGTAGAAAGCCTGAAAATATACTATAAATAGCCCTTTACTGTAAATAAAAACAGAAAGTGTGAACCTCCCCACTAGTTTCAAGGTGGGTTTTTTTACCTTTGAAATATAAGGATGATAAGTTAAATTCCAAAATTGTTAACTATTTCATTGCTCATCATTTTAGCAATGTGGCAGCATGGTCTGTCTCTTTAGGGGACTATGTTGGTTAATATAATTTGTTTTGTTTTTCCATTTGAGAATACTAATAACTTGGAGAGCCAGATTAGCCAAATCCTGCTGGAGGCACAGGTTACCAAGTGGGACCTTGAGATACAGGAAACAGAATAAAAAACAAAAACTTCAGTAGCAATGGGGTTAGTCAGCAAAGCTGTGGTTCTGAGCTGGCTAGTGAATGGCAAAACCCCCACTGACTTCAATATGATCAGGATTTCACCTCTTGTGTCTTTATTCATAATGACCTTTGTTGTGTGTAGGTTCTTTTGTTTCATTTGTGCTTCTTTTGCCCAGGATGAGAATCTGTTTTATCTTGATTGAAAATATTTTCTTTCACGCTGACTGGTCTGGAGAACCAGAAAGCCAATCCAGCCACTCAGCTTCTATCACATCTTGCTAATGTTCTTGTCTCATTTCCCAATCTGCCTTCAGTGCCTCCCTAAATGCTAAAAGTCCTATCTATCTGCTACTCACATGCCTAAACATCCATCCAGTTACCCTTCACCTGACCCACTACAGTCAAGTCCACACCTGCCCAACTGAAGTCATTACAAAGCTTTCCTCTGTGGCCGTTCTCCTCATGTAAATCTTTTCCTTGGTGTATAAGTGCTGTAGATGGTGCTGCTATGCATTTGGGTGAATTTCATCCTAAGTGTAAAAAACGATATGCCTGTGCGGGAAGTCATCATTGTTTTAATTCTTCATAGACATGTTTGAGGTCAAGGTGATCATGTTACTTAAAAACACAAACAAACAAAAATCCAATGTACTGTATTCAAAAATCATTGTTTTGGGTTTGCAGTAAATCTGACTTCAACAAAAACAAAGCCAAAGAGTGCTTTGTTTGATTTTATTCAATAATACACATCAATAGACTATAGAGAGCTGCCTACACAGCGGGAAATAAAAAACAACTGTACCAGTTTGATTGACTTAGAGAAATTCCAGCAATAGTTGAACACAAGGAAAAAAGAGAAATCTGATCATCCATTGGACTATAGTACAAATATATAACTGAATATGTACTATATTGTAGTTAGAGACCTAGAATATAATTTGTTTCTAACGAATGGTCAGATCCATCAACAGAAAATTATATTGACACTTTTTAGTTACTAGAATTTTTGACCCTGATGATTCTAAACAAGTTGTTCAAAAAATTGTTTGTTTATTGCAAAAATTGGGTAATTAAGGGTCTGATCCAAACCCTATTGAAGTGAATCAAAAAACTCCCCTTGACTTCAGTGGCCTTTGGATCAGTCTCTTACTGAGCACCAGATTGTGGAGATGGCTCCTCAGGCTCAGAGGAAGGAGGGCATAAGAAATCTCCAACCCCCAGTCCCTGCACCCCATGCTACATTTGAACAAAACTGAAGTCCCAAAGGAGTTAGGGCCATAGCCATGAGTGCATAGGAGGAAGGACGCTGCACCCCTTGAAGGGGTGTAATACCATGCATACTCCTGCTGAGTTGTGGGAGTCTTCCGAAGAAATTCCGCATGAGGCAGCTTTCCCCCCAGAGCTCCTTCTACAGCAGTATAGTCCCCAATGCAGGACTAGGCCTGACTGGCAGGACTGAGCCTGAATTTTTATACTATAAACATGGAGTAAAATAGCCATTTGCTTGAACTGAGGAAAATGTGAGTATCTATGTTCTATGTTCTGACTTACTGTTCCACATTTTCCCCCCTGAAATAAGTTGAGCACTTAGAGCAAATCAACTAGGGCAGCCATGTGACACAAGGCACTCCCAGTCTCCAGGCTGAGTGCTCTGTCTGCACAGCAGTCTCACATCCTGCCAGCCTCTGGAGTAAGACCCTGGGCCTCAGATTCAATTCTGGTCTATCTCACAGGGCCACGTAGAGCTCATCTCCAGGGCTCCTTAACTGCTTTTTAAATGGGAGATTAATGTATGTCTGTGTAGGATGGAGATCTTATTTGCAAATGGCAGAGTCATTTGAGAATCTATTAAAATCCCATCCAGAATTTCCTCTGTGTGTGTGTGTATGTGTGCACGCACACGCGTGTGTGTATGTATACATATAAGTAATATATATTTAAAAGTCATGTTTCTTTGTGGGTCCAAAGGGGTGAAGGACTCAATATGATATCCCATTTTTTAGGATGGACCGCATCAAAGCCAGGCAACAAAAATACAAAAAGGGTAAAGAAAGAATGCTGAGCATGACCCAAGAATCAACAGAAGGGCAAGAAATTCAAAAGGCCTCTGAAGAAGATGATGAAGGTACCTCTAGCATGTTTCCATGCCATAAATGTATCAGAAGTTGGAGCTCAGTGCTAGGAACTCAGTAGGCTCTCTCTCTCTCTCTCTCTCTCTCTGCGTGCGTGCGTGCATGCGTGTGTGTGTGTGTGAGAGAGAGAGAGAGAGATACTGATGTGGTGGGCATTATTAGTGTAATACCATTTTAAAGCTTGATTCATCCAGATAAATATCTGGCTTTTGTACTTCCATTTTGAGAAAATGATTTGCTTTCAGGTAAACAGACATACCTTTTAGTTAAATTTGTGTCTTTTAGCAAGGAACTGAATGACAGACATTTATTTGAGCAACGGCTGTATTTATAAAAAAAATTAGTGTTTCAAAAAGAGAAAGATTTACAATTTTTCAAGCAACCTTTTCTTGGCTGCTATAAGTTTTTTGAAACCATTGAAATACACAAACATCTTTTATTGTTTGAACCAGTATAGATTAAAATACCATGAAATGCCATTGTTTCCAATCATACCTAACTGGGGTTGAATTTTGGATCAAAAAGTTATTGGCGTTTGAAATGTGCTTTTACAGCTTTGTTTTTATGAATGCATTTTATTTTTCAGAGTATTAACAAATAATGGATTATTTTTTCAGAAATTAACTTCATCGATGATTAATAGAAACTGTTTCCAAATCATGTTTATAACATTTACAAGCAAGTTTTATGCCTATTAGACAATAAAATTTTAACAAATGAAATATCACTGGACATCTATGTAAACCTTTTTTTGTTTATTTTCCATTAGTTTTATGGAAAATCAGTGAAATCCATCAATGAGGTTTTTTTTTATATATATATATATATATATATATATGTGTGTGTATTTATGTATGTATGTATAAACTATAAATTTTTTTATTGTACTTGGAGTGGAATACTATTCTTTTATTTACTGTGTAAGATAAATCATTAGCATTCTGGGCTACCTCTTAAATCATGAATATTATTCATACTGAGTATATTTAATAGAGCTGAAATCTGATGTGCTTATGCAGTTTAGATCTATTGCAAAAAATAAGTGATTAAACAAAGTGTAAAAATGTGTTTCTCATTTTGTAAAATTAATATTTGGCCATATTTTATTTTAGGAGAAGCAGACAAAGAGAAAACCAAGGGCAAAAAAAAGCTGTGGTGGCGGCCTTGGGTTGATCATGCTTCCAGTAGGTTTTCTCAATCATCTTACAAATACATGGATTTACCCCTTATATCCTTGACCAGAATGAAGGCATTCCCACAACTTGTTTGTTTTATGCATGGTTTTATGATTGTGACTTGATAGAGTTCTTGATTGTATAAACCAGTGATTTCAACTTTAAACCTCAAGAGGCCAAATAAGCAATGTTCTGTATTTGCACATAACACAGATGTAGGTATTTCTGACCATTTGCAATGATATCAAGTCAAAGAAAAACATGAACCAAAAGAATCTACCTCACACACAAAGACTGGGGAGCCTCCGAAAAGATGATAAAATGGTTTTAAATTTGAGAGTGGAAGTTTTGCCAATACTGATTAATCGTATGCATTCGGGGCCGGAGCTTAGTCCTTACTAGTTTTATTTTTCAAAGATAGATGGTTCACCAATTGTCATCTCATGCACAGACCACCATGGCCTTCACTGAGAATGGGATTAAGCCAGGTGCATGGGAAATATTCTTCTTTAAAAATCACACTAATCAGTTATGTCAATGAGAAGTTAGCCTAAATAAGAACTGTAGGATGAGTCCCTCAGTAACTATGAGAACCTTGATTTGGTGTGATGTTTTCAAAAGTGTTGAGACTTTGCCTAACTCTGTTTCCACTTAAGTCAATTGGAGATTTACTGTTGGCTTCAGTGAGGGTAGAGTTAGGCTAAAGGCTCTAGAAAATCCCGCCTTGTATAAATAGAAAGCATTTAAATGTGAGGCCTAGAAATGTATTCATGCTTCTGAGATAGGAACTGATGGTGCCCATGAAGCTCTTCTTCCAAAATCTCTGACCTTGTTGGTGAGACTTCAGAGAGCCATTCTCGCAAAAAGTTTATAATATTAATGCTGGCGAGAAGTTCTGGTCTTTTCAACTTCTTCCTCATGTCAAATCTTTCCATAGATCCCTCTCCGCCAAAAAAATTATCTTCATTACTTCATTGCAGTTGGCACAAAATTGTCCCTATCCTGTGTAGCTGATATTCTCTCAGTGGTGCTCGTTTTTACTAAACTGGGGACAGGAAATAAAAGTTTTTTTTCTGAGAAAACTTTAGGAGACATCCCTTCACAATGTAGAGATTCTCTATTTAAATATTATTTTTTAAAATAGCAGAACTGCTTAATAAATACTGTTGTATTTAAATACTCCCTGATCCAAAGCCCATTGAAACCAATGGAAAGATTCTCATTAACTTCAATGGGGTTGTGATCCAGCCCATTGTGAAGCCAATTTTCAGTGGTGTGCACCTCATCGGCATGTCTACATCCCAGATTTAGACAACTAGATAAGCATCTAAGCATCTGAACATGCCAAAAAAAAAAAAAAAAAAGTCATTTAGTGCCTAAGTGAGAATTAACATCCCATTAAGGTTCCCACATTTGCAGATTGAGCTCAAATTGTTATCAAACTTGTTTGGCCAAATTCTGCTTTCATTTTCACTAGGATAAACATGGAGTTCTCTATTGACTCTAGTTTACGCCATTATTTTAGGATTTACACAGGTTTCATTGAGAGCAGAATTTGGTTCAATATTATATATAATACAACACGTACGTAATATATTTTTAATTCCTTTACAGCCCTAAAACTCAGTACAGCTAGCCTGATAATACATGGACAGTTCTACCCTAATTTACACCCTTTATAAATCAGAAGAGAACAGGGTATGGCACTTAATTACCTAAACTCATATGTCCAATTACTAGATCTTAGCTCAGAGAAGTCATCTATTGCATGATAGTCAGTATCAGCTATTTAACAAGTATATGCAGTGGTGAGCTGGAGCCGGTTCGCAAGAACCGGTTGTTACATTTAGAAGCCGGTGTAGAACCGGTTATTAAAGGGACCGGCGGGTGGGGAAACTCTGGCCCGCGGGACTGTCCTGTCCAGCCCGCCTGAACTCCCAGCTGGGGAGGCTCCCCCGGTCCCTCCCCCACTCAACCCCCCCCCCCGCAGAGCCCCAGTGTGCCACGCCCACCGGCGCCAGCGCTCTAGGCAGCTCTGCAGCTCCTGCCACTTTGAGCAGCATGGTAAGGAGGCGGGGCCAGGGCTGGGAGGAGGGGTTGGATAAGGGGCAGGGAGCAGTGGGAGGGGGTGGCAGTGAGGGGACGGGGAACGGGGGGGTTGGATAGGCGTGGGAGTTCCGGGGGTCTTTCGGGGTGGTGGTGGATGGGGTCGGGGCAGTCAGGGGACAGGGAGCGGGGCAAGTTGGGTGGGGTCCTGGGGGGCAGTTAAGGTGGGGGGGTCTCGGGAGGGGGGGGTCAGGGGACAAGGAGCAGGGGGGTTGATGGGTTGCGGGTTCTCAGGGGAGCAGTTGGGGGCAGGACGTGGGTTGGGGTCAGATGGGGGGGAGACAGGCACGTGGTGCTTGTACTCACCGCGCGGTTCCCTACCGGGTCTTCGGCGGCACTTCGGCGGCGGGGGGGAGGGGTGTCTTCACTCGCTCTGGGTGAAGGACCCGCCGCCGAAATGCCGCCAAAAACCCGGAGCGAGTGAAGACACTCCCCCCCCACCCCCGTCGCTGAAGTGCCGGCGAGGACCCGGTAGGGAACTGGTTATTAGGATTTTCGGAGCTCATCACTGAGTATATGGTACTGATCAGAGTGCAAAGTTAAACTGAAACATTTGAAACATTTATGAATTATCACTTTCAATCTTGCACCTCAAGAGTTGCTTGTTTTTTCCCTTCCAGACATATTTTTATGCTCTTTGTGTCCACTTCTGTATTTTTGTGTATGTGTGTTCTTGTCGACAGTATTTTATAGTATATTACATGCCTTTTTCTGTCAAGTCACAAGTAAACTGTGCCTATGTCTTTCTGTTTCTAAAGAGCATAATATTGCTTTAGAGAGACCTATCCTTTTTCAAAAGCTTGCTTCTTGTCATTTCAGTTTCATTTAAAACAACAATAACAAAATAAACACAAGCTACAATTAGCAACTGTTTTCTTACAATTTTAAACTACAATATTTTTGGAAGGAATTGGATATGGTCTGTCTTAACCCTCATACTGGTTTTGTAGTAAACAGAAGAACTGCCCAAATAAGGCCTTGATTTCAGCAATTTCTGATTCATTTCACCCTCATTATATCATGTTCTTAGGGAACAACATGAATTTTGGTGTTTAAACAGTGAGCATTATTTAAATTATTTATTGCAATAATGCAGAAATTTATGGAAAGCATCATGTAGCCTGAGCCTACAGACACTGCCTGCCCTGCCATGCAGACTCACTACCGTGTCCATTCAAATAAAGGGGACTATACAGAGTAGAAAGCACAATAGTACTTACTGTAGTAAGTGTTTGCAGGATCAGGCCCACAATTTGGATATTAATATAGACTGAAAGGAAGGTCTTTTCCATGGAAGGGCCACCATTTGTAAATGCTTGTTAGTATTTCTATACCCACTTTCCTTAAAAAGCTAAAGAGATGTCCTTTTTAGTGTTTTGGCTTATGCCTGTAGGTGTGTTTACTTCTGTTGAGGAGCCTGCGCTACTGGAGTTCAGTGTTTGATGCCAGTTCTGATGTTTGCTAATTGGACCATTCATTCGTTTATACAGTTATGCACTCAGATACCTTCTGATCACACTCTGACAATGGGATGGGAAACATCTGTGAGATTTTCCTCATTGAGATGTCTCCCAAATTGTTCCAATGAGGGAAGCAGGGCTCCTCCAGTCCCTGTGGAACAGGCCCCTGAGCCCTAAACGGATCAGCAGATGCCAGAGCCATCTCCATAGAGGTCCCTTGCTTCTCTGTTGGCTGTGTATCCCCATCCTTAACAGTTCTGCTCTAATGGAGTGATGCAGACAGCTCCCAGCTGTCCCAATAGCTCCCAAATAGGGATTCCCAATATGGGTGGGGAGGAGAAAATAGTACAGTTCCCACTCCTCCAGCCCTACTCCTCCCTTGACCTGCCCCTTCCTCCCTTACAAATCCCCACATCTGTGCAGAGTTCTCCATGACGCATGGGGAAAAAAGAGGAATGTTGCCACAAAATCCCCTCCTTCAATGGGAATGGGGGAGGGGATCTGTGAGTGGATTCATGGGGCACAAATCTGGCCATTAATTATTTTACTTATTAAATGTTTTAATAATGCCCTTAGGCAGCTAATGTGCTCTCTGTTCCATCCTAAGATGTATCTGCCAGAGTGTGGTGGTGTTGTTCAGTCATACTTTCTTTTTCAATTAAAACATTCCTTATTAGCTGTTAGAGGAATGTTTTGTTACATTACTGTCTCTTCAGAAATATTGGAGTGCACAGCTGTGAGAGAGAATTTACGTGAGTGTTTGTACAATACCGCAGCACAGTGGGGCTCCAGACTTAAGGGGGCCTGTAGTTGCTACTGTATGACAGATCATACCAAGCAATACTCTGCAATATATTAACCCCTAAGCATCACACAGACTGTGGATCTCATCCTGCTGGCCTGTCTGTGGGGACAACTTCGGTTATCAGCCCCACTGGAATTTTTCCTGAAAAACAGCTCCAGGTTAGGGGCCTTACATTATGAACATCTCTGTAAGCTTTCATTTTTAACGTCTCTTCTGGGGACATTCTTAGAGGCCTGTGTGAAATATTTTTACTTGTTTCAACATGTTTGTATTAGTCAAGATTTGTGATCCCAATTCTGCAATCAGATCCATTCAGGTGGACTCTTAATCCCACAGAGCCCCATTGATGTAAATGGAGATCTGCACAGCCCCAGAGGTCCACCTGAGCAGACATGACTACCTCTGTTTTTAGTGGCAACTTATACCATGTCTATGTTTGGATAGAGAATTGGCAACTTTCATCTCAGGTTTAAGATTTAATATGATTTATTAGTGTCCATCTGAGCAGAAAAGAGACATACAGACTGCCAGGTATGATTGAGTAGGGTTGAAGCTAATTTTATTTTTCTAGAGGTTTATAATGAGGGTTAAATGTACACTTTTTATATAAATATATATTGTTCCATATGTCTTGGGTGACTATGTGATATTTAGTCTAAGTAACTATTCCTTTAAAATCTTTCCGTTTACATGCAGGTATTACTTTTACCATTCTTCACTGCCAAACGTAATACCGTGACTTTGTTTTTTCTCTTGCTCGTCATCTTATTTTTCATTTCTTTTGTTTCCCTTGTTCATTCGTGTTAGGCCTGTTATCTTATTACATACCAAAATAATGCTTCTGTTCAAGGATATAAGGCCCAGTTCATTCACGCTGCATCTTTAATGTATGGAGGTTTCAGAACCTTTCTGAATCCATGGGCAAAAACCTCATTTGTGATCATGTTTAATAATAATAAAGTGATTCATTTTAAACAAGCCAAGGTTTTCCATTACCTCATCAAAGCTTAAAAGTTCGAAGAAAATAACTCAGACATCCCATTATATAGTTTTAAAGGATGCCTCAGCATTTAAAAAAGCAGTTCTGTACTCTTTGTCCAGTTGTACAATTTATGTAAAATCATTAATTTACCTGCTGAGATTATTTTATTCTCTAACAAATGAAAGCAACCATCAATCCTTGATACATTTAGGTTTAATTATGCATCAAGTTCCTGTCAAATAGTTTAACGTAATAACTTGGTCTACTTCAAGCTTTTTCTTTACATTTTGCCAGCCCTGTTCCTCTTTGTGGTGATGTTTTCTTAGTTTATTCTTATCTCTGTCATGCCCAAAGTACCACATACTCTAACACCAAATAATCTGTCTGACACCGAGTCCTGTTCATCTCTTGTTTCATCTCCATTTCTCCTGCTTTGGAGTCCGTTAATGACTGGCTGGTTATTTATACATCTTTGGCTCAGCTCAGACTAGAGCTCCTTTTTTACAAGAAATAAGCAAATATTTTGTTTCATTTAGTGGTCAGAAGTGGAGATTATTATTTATTTGAGACGGATAGTGAAGAAGAAGAGGAGGATGAAAAAAAAGATGATGAAGAACCTCGGAGGAGATCTGCATTCCAGGTATTTTACAGTAATGTGCTTATCAGTTAAAGTTCTTACTGAGAGATCTTGAGTTAAGATAAAAGCATCTCATAACATACTCTCATACATTAAAGCTGACCGTAATTGTTAATATTAGGTGGTGCCAGATGTTTAGCTTTTAAACAAAACCTAAATTTGATGTCTCAAATACTTGATATTGTCCTTTGTTTTTCATATTGTTAAAACATTACCATTCAAGACTGAAATCATTGCTTTCTAAGACTAGAGGATTCTACCTTTACCTAGGAGCTGTGACCATATAAGGCTCTTGATCCATGCACGCATCTCCAGTTGTGCACATGAGAACTGAGGGTGGAATATGGCTCTTAATACTGTACATTTTTGCCAGAGAGTTGGGTTGAGGCAGAAAAGTATGTTAGCTTGTGAGTAGCTTGTCAACTGCTCGGTCAGCTTTCCACGTTCCATACAACTTCCATTACTGTGTATGTGTGTAGCTTTAGTACAATACTAACATTTAACTTGCTGTTTGTTATAGACCCTACTAAATATTTATTTTTAACTACTCTATTTGCCTTTACCATAAATTGCCTCTAACAATCATCTGTCATGGGATTATAATGATATCTTTATCAGCTTGACCATTCACTAGGGTTTACATTTATGGACTTAGAGATAATGCTTTATATAAGCATTTTATTTATTAGGGTAATACAAAAGCTCAATAATTATCTAACTGAAAGTTTACGGCAAATAACACATTTGTTTTCAATTAATGTAAACCCTTTAATAACAATTATATAATTACAATAATACAGAAGATAACTTTTTATTAATACTTTTCCTTTTTTCTACTAATTGCTCTTCCTTTGTCGTCCTTTGTAGCGAGCTATTGGGAAATTTGCTTCAGCCATTTTAGCCTTGCCAAAGTCTATCATTAAACTGCCCAAAACTATTCTTCAGTATTTAATCAGAGCAGCAAAGGTATTTGCCGTTTCACTAGTGTGCAGTATGTGCCCTCATTACATAATATTCTGGCATAATGTACCCAACTGCCTTTATCTGCATTTTTCCTCTTGTATGAACTGTCTGAGAAGCTGTGAGAGTCCAAAGCTGTGAGAGTCCAAATGTTATCAGTTGAACTATCTGAAGTGTGCAAACTACAATAAGTTGTCTCTTATTTTAACTATGACCTCAGAGAGAAAATGCAGATGCAAATTTTGGTTTTCTTTTGATATTGCTGTCTAAGGTATTGTAAGAGGGTCACATCAAGTTGCATGCATCTTTAGACAGTGTGGTAATCTCTCTCAGAAAGCTGGTAAGACATTTAAAGTAAACTAACAAAATACACATTCTGTCCCAAACTCCTTGTCCTAGCACTTTAGTTTCCTGGTCTTGATCATCACAAATCTGATCTGTGCATCCTTAGCATTTTCTTTTGTCTTCCTCAAATAAATTTAGCACATTCCAGCCTTTTATAGTGCTCGTGGTAATGCACTCCATATACACAATATGATACTACTTTAGAGTAAGCACTAAATGCATTATTGATTAACCACACCAGACCATAAGCCTATACGTTCTTGCTTGTCAAGTGTTGTCCAATACTGAAATTCTAAAGCAAGATATATATTTTCCCTGGCAGAAGCTGAAATACCCTGTCATTTAACGTAACTAGAGTTATAGTCAGTTTATTAATTTCATTTCTTTTCTTCATTCTTCCTTCCCCCCTTTATCTCAGTCTGTTCCATCATCTCTATGTTCTCCTCTATTTACAGTATGATTACAAGCTGTTCAATAGTAGACTTTGACAGTGCCTCACCTATAGTATCCAATGTGGTATGTTAGGTCAAGTCATTATTAAAATTGGATAAACATACCTCTAGATCACCCTCCCTTAACAAACACTCCTTAAAAAGCAAAGAGGATTCCATGTCTCCTATGCCAAGACATTTTTCACATTGCATTTGCATTGGACAAAGCAGCCTAGTAAAAATAAAATAGCTGACCTTAAGAGACTAGGAAAGAGATCAGCTTCCCTACTGTACCAGATCATTTCCCCCTCACAATTATTGAGCACAGGTTCACAAATCAGAACCAGTCTGAAGATTTACTTTTCTGTAAATTCAGTGAAAAGACAATTTTGTGAAAGTTCTTAAGATTGTGTTTGGAATGCCTCAGAGTGATTTCTGTTCATAAAATAGCAAAAACAAATAAACAAAAGGAACATTCACAATGTTATCTCCTGTAATGGACAATTCCAGCTTCCCTGAGACACAGGTTTGCTCATGTTGTTGTGTGCATGCTTGTATTAGTTTGCTTTATTTTCCTCTCATGCCTGAAATCATGTGCTCCTTGCTTAACAACTTCTGTTGACTAGAAATGAAGAATGCCAGTTGCAAATGATTTTCATTTTTGAATGAAAATCATAAAAAAAACCCCACATCTTTTGTCTCAAATTGCTATGAAATCATATTTAATGCCTTTAGCTCCTGTTTCATGTTATGCTGTGCTGGAAAAAAATTAAAATATTATTGCTTTTTTCAGTAACCTTCTCCCACACCCTCAGCAGAGCTATCCAAACTACTACTACATGGTAATAATACTTAGCACTGCTACAGCACTTAATAAACATTGGACAAACTCCTGCTTACTCACTCAGGGAAATCAGATTAATGTGAGTATGGTGAGCAGGATTTGGCCTGTTAGCTAATTCATCCCCATGAAATCCCACGGATGCATATAAGTATTATTATCTCCATTTTCCAGATAGAGAAACTGAGACAGAAAGGTTAAGTGACTTACCCAAAGCAACAGAGGAAGTTTATTGTCAAAATGAGGATGAAAACTCAGGAGTTCCTGGCTATTAGTTGTAGACTGTTCATAGACTACTAGCCCTCTGTCTGTAATCCTCAGATGGAACAAAAATCACATAAAGTATATGAAATTTGCCAACACAAATACTAGCATTGAAATATTAATAGCAATTTTTGATGTTTTAGATTATTGGTTTTAACATTTGCTGTTAAAGTTTCCATTTCATTGCACCTTACTTGTAATGCTGATACAGTAGAAATATAAATTCGAAAGATTTGGGGGAAGTGAGCCAAATATACAACACTATGTTAATTCCCAAATTTAATTCCCAGAACATAAATTTTTGTGGGTTCTTATGAAACTTGATTCACCCACGAGCGTTTTCACATTTGGTTTCATGTTGACGAAAACAGTTCAAGAAAACTCAGCAGATCTGCAGAGAAGGTGTTTGGATTGGGATTCAAAATGTTTGCTCACCCCTGTGTTTACCCTAAATATGTATTCCTGCGTGTGGTTTACTTTACTGTTTACTTTCAAAACAAGAAGAATCTGGAAATAAATGAGTTTGTTTCCTCCAGTTTGTGTATCAGGCCTGGATTACTGATCCTAAAACTGCACTTCGACAGAGGCGCAAAGAGAAGAAAAAGTTTGGGAAGGAAGACAAGCGAAGGCGAAAAGGATCTGGGGATGGTGTGTATGCTTTTGGATGGTCTTCAGAAGTCCCCTTTAAACAAACAAAGAAGCAAAAACTCATTCTTCTTTCAATCCGTGGTGTAGCAGGCAACCATACTAAAAAGATTAATCGTGACCAGACATTTAACATGTACCAGCAAGGAGGAAGGAACACAAGCCTAAATAGGGAAAGAACAGCTTAAAAAATATGTATATATCTTAGATGTATTCCAATCAGCAGGACCTGATGAAATTCATCCTAGTGTACTTAAAGAACTAGCTGAAACAATTATATTTGAGCATTCATGGAGGATGGGTGAGGTCCCAGAGGACTGGAGAAGGACAGACACAGTGCCTATCTTTAAAAGGGGGAACAAAGAGGACCCAGGGAATTATAGATCAGTCAGCCTAACTTTGATACCTGGAAAGATACTGGAACAAATTATTAAACAAGCAATTTGTAAGCACCTAGAGGACAATAAGATTTTAAGGAATAGTCAGCATGGATCTGTCAAAAACAAATCATGTAAGGCCAACCTAATTTCCTTCTTTGACAGGGTTACTGGCCTAGTGGATAGTTTGGAAGCAGTAAATGTGATATATCTTGATTTTAATAAGGCTTTTGTTAGGCAGCATTTGGCAGGCAGCAAAGAAAAAACGTTCAAATTTAACATTCTTTTCTTAGCATCACAAAACTGTCTGTGTGCTCTGAAATGTTTCGTTTGTACATGATTTACAACGCTTGAGTTTTTGCTGCATTTAAAAAACAGAAATACTCATCAGAAGTATTTTTGCCAATGTGTATTTGAAAAAACCATTCATCCTGAAGCAGTTACATTAGAAGTCCCTCTATCTGGTACCTTCCTCTGGTACTTATTTAATTCTCTTCTGTCACTAAAGCTACAACAGCTAGCTATGTTAATATATCCGATACTATTGGGTCACTTCTTTGACCCACTTAGTCATGTCTGTGATTTTTTTTAATGGCAAATATCTGCACTATAACGACTGTTACGCTTAAATAAAACAGCACATGATAGATTCAAAACAACCCTTCTGCTTTGTTTCAGCTAATCGGGTCCATCTTCATGCTGTTGTCAATTCATTTATTCTCAATCAGCATGAAAGTATTAGAGTTCAATGAGTTAAAGGCAAATGTAGGTTTTAAAAGGTATGCTAGCATATTAAAGTTTCTAGAGGATTAACCAGCAAACTTTTAAGGTTAGATCTTCAGCAGCTGTGAACAGGCATAACTTGGTTGAAATCTATGCAACTGCATTGATTTACACCCAGCTAAGGATCTGGCTTTTAAAGTAATTGATAAACAAAATGTCCTTACAAAAAATAAAACCGTATCATTCATGGACCAACTCCAACTATGTTGTTAGAATGTTTTCTCCCACTTGGATCCTGTGAGATCTGGAGGAACCTGTTCTGCTAAGACTGGATGTATCCAAGTATTTTTTAATAACCATGAAATCTCTCTTCAATTCTAGTGGGATTTACATGTTAACCTCTGTGGGAAAGGCTTTACTCATTGCTTAAATTTTAATTTGGCAGGTGCTACTGATGTAGAACATGAAGAGAGAGAAGATGAACCTGTCAAAAAGAAATCAGATGGGCCAGGTATGCAGGCAGAACGAAGGCTGCACTAGTATTGTATTGTAATTGTGATTGCGGGGATAAATGGCATTACCATGTGGTCAATATGTAAGTAACCCAAGGGCAACATACAAGCAACGTGATTCTCTCCAGCTTTCCTCTGTTCAGTCAGAATCACAACTGACTCTAGTCTAACCAAATACAGACATATTCATTCATGAAATCACAGAGGAAGAGGTAATGACCTATTAAATCATCCAGTCCACTTCCCTGACAGTACAGAAGTGTTCTCACTTTCAGGTGTTTTATCCAGTAGTTTTAAAAATCCCAAGGAAAAGGTCTTTCACAATAGAAGCAAATACTCTCAAGCTCTTCCCCAATGTATCAAACAGACATCAACATTTGCATAGTCTTCTGGCCAGTGGATGTATATGTATTATATATTTGTATACTGTATTATGCCTATCTAGGATCCAGTCCTGCTTCCGTTCAAGTCAGTGCCAAAACTTCTGTTGACTTTTCTTGTGCAGGTTCTGGCCTTCAAATTTTAAGACCAGTAGAGCCAGGACCCTATATTTATTTTGTATTGTGCACTGCTGAGCACCCTGTTCTGGCTCAGTTAGGGACCAATACTGCAAGAAGTTGAATGTCTCCTGCAAGGTAATGAATGACCTTAAATCCCATTGATTCTAACTTCCAATGGAATTTGAGAGTGCTCAGCAACTCACAAGAGGCAGCCAAAAACTTGGCCGATAACAATAAGCTGGTAAGGGGTTTCTCCAACTTAAGAAATGAGTACAGCTATGCCGCATCCTAAAACTAACCATGTGGGTCAGATCCTCAGGACTGGCTCTTTGGCTTCAGGTGGTGTGAATAGAAGGATGGTGGCTTCCTCTTCAGTCTAGCCTTGACCCATTCTCACCTGCTGCAGTGTGACCTTCTCTTCTAGAGCTATTGATCTCCTATATTTATAATGAAAAGGGCATTCTACTCTCCAGCAAAACTTGTGCCGCAGAGTGAACCATAAGGTAGCAAAGGTCAGAAGCATGAGATACCTTGTCCCTTTCCCACAAGATCAGCACTTCTCAAAAGAAGAAAAGGTTCTTACTTTCTTCCGGCTTTTACTATCTCATAGTGTAGCTTGGTCAACTAACATACGGAGATGAATTTCAGTGAATGCGGATGGTCTGATGAGGGTTGAGGAAAGGGAAATATGATGCTAATTGGATTATTATTGGGTTTGATTGGAGCAAGCATGAAGCATCTTTCATATTTGATTTTAACTGTTTCACCCATCCCCTAGATAAAACTCATTGAAGAAAGTGTTACCAAAACTGGAGGGAAACATTATTAGAAAGGGTTCTTCTAGTTAACAGCTTTGGACCAAATTGCTAGGCATCTGCTACTCCTGTTAAAGTCAATGGGGGCAGCAGGTTTTCATTCTCTCTCAGTATTTGACCCTTTAAGTATAACAGTCTCTCCAGAAAATAAATCGTTCCCTTTCTGAAGATGTTTACATGTGATCGATCCCCAAAAGATTGTTTTTAAAAGGTGACCGAGAACAGAACAGCCACAGACTCATTAAAAATGTATACTACATCACCTCCAATCCTGAGAGAAAAATGACCTTCTAGATTAGATTGGAAGTCACTGGCAAAGCATCTCAGTGAGACCATAGGATACCTATAATAGCTGAATAGTAAAATAGACTTCTTGTTTGTAAGTAAGCAGAGACTGCCCCACAATTAATCTCAATAGTGTAAATGGTACCCCATCAATTGTGAGGGCATGTTTCAATACAATATATACTGTCTGCATACATGCTCTGTGTGTGTATGCGAGAGAGAGAATCACATTTTCTTTTAAACTGTGCATGAGTACATCTGAAGTCATAGGCACCGTTTTTGAGTTGCCAGGGGGTACTCGACCCCTGCTCCACCCCAGGCCCTGCCCCCACTCCACCTCTTCCCCCAAACCTCCACCCTTGCCCCGCCCAGTACCACACCCTCCCCCGAGTACAACTCGCCCTTGCTTCTCCCCCCCAGCACCTCCTGCATGCTGCTGAACAGCTGATCTCTGGCGGGCAGAAGGTGCTGGGGGGGGGAAGGGGAGGAGCTGATTTGGGGGGGCTGCCAGTGGGTGCTGAGCACCCACTATTTTTTTTCCAACCTGGAGCACCCATGGAGTTGGCATCCATGTCTGAAGTTTAAAAAAATTGCAGTGCATCAGAAACAAAAATTAAACTTTACCTTTAACTTATAGTGATAAGATTTTGGTTAGCCCAAATATGAGTACCTAAAAGTATGTAGGAATAATGCTTTGGTTAGTAAATTATAAAATCCCTCCAAACCCAAATAATACAGAAAAGCACTGGAAGTGAAAACAGCAATTGGATAACGATAATGCAAAAAAAGTGGGGGAGACGGGGGGAGGGTCAATGGAATCATTCAACAGTGGGGTGGCTCCCTGAATTAGAAATGCATCTGTTTTTAACATTTCTAGGTATCTACTGCATATTACTTTGTTAGTGTACAACTTTTGCATGCCTTTTAAAACACAAACTACTCACATCCCAAAGTGCTGAACAACATAGTCTGGTGACATTGGTTACTGACACTGTTAAAAAGCTTCTCAACAGCAGAGCTATAATGCTGATATAGGTCCATTCCGTAATAAATACTGTAAACATTTTAGCTGCATATTGCAGATTCTTCCACTAGGTCAGCATTAGATACATATATCTGGTTCTTTCAGATTTGGAAACCACAACATAGGGCTAGATTTTGGTTTGGAAAGAGGATTTCAGCACTTTTGTGCAGCACATAAAGCATTGTCAAACTATGAAAGGGCGGGATGGAGATGGGTTGCAAATAGTGGCATGATTCTATAAACCCCGAAATACCCAGAGGAGCACCTACTCATATGAGAAGTACCACTGATAGTGCCAACAGCACTATTCAAGTCAGAAAGTACTCCTCAATCCAAGTTTGCTGAAGTGAAACCATAAAAAGAAATCCAACTAAAACTACTGTTATGTGTTTAGATGCAGTGGTTGTTAAACACCGCTCCTTGCAACATTTACCTCTTATTGTGGAAGAGGAATATATATGTAAGATCTCAGCTAGTGAAGTGACTTGAGTGTAGAAGTCAACTGACTACACAGTGCAGGATATGTGAGAAAGAGGGTTCATGAGATGAGGCCGTGTAGCCCAGATACAAGAGTAATAACTGTAGGCAGGTCAAAGATACCAGCTCAGGCTAGCAAGGTCCAGGCATGAAAGGAGAACTGGCTAGGAGAAATTCCACTGGACAGAAGAAAATGAATGTACCGAATGGATGAATAAAGTGCCCAGTTCTACAAGGTGCTGAGTGCCCACAACTTCCATTGAGCTGCTGGAACTGAGGCTATCTGCACCTCTTAGGAGAAGCTTAGCCCTTAGGGCTTTACCCTGCAAAACCCTTCCACACTTGAGGAGTTCCTCTGAAGCTGGTGACGATTACTTATGTGACTAGCAGGATCAACCTTTTAGAGGAAAAAAAGGCATTCCAAGATTACAAACACTAGTCAGACAGGCCATGTCTACACAAGAACACTCAGGAAACTTCAGACAAATTGACTAAAGGTGTGAATTCAATGCACATAAACTTAAGTTTGTTAACCCCCCAGGATTAAGTTACAGCAAACTAAGGCCATTTTATTCCTGAATAAGAGCAGCCACATTGGGAGGGTTGTGGGGTAGGTGGGGGTATTGATACGTATAAATTTACGCACATTGACTTCACACCTTTATTTGATTCACTTTAAGTTTCCTGAGTGTTCATGGGTAGTCCTGGCCATAGAAAGGTAGGAAGATAGCCCCAACAAACCACATGGCTTTCAGCCATTTCCAAACATTCCTGTTGCTGATAGAGAGAGGTCTTGCAGCCTGGATTATTATATTCAATAAAGTAAAAATTGAACTAGCTTTTGTGAAATGTCAGAACAGGATCATCATGTGAAAAATAAGTTTATGTTCATTAACTCTATCACTTATTTCCCCTCTCAGATAATATCATCAAAAGAATATTTAATATTTTGAAGTTCACCTGGGTCCTTTTCCTGGCAACACTAGATAGTTTTACAACTTGGCTCAATTCCATTTCAAGAGAGCACATTGATATCTCTACTGTGCTGAGAATTGAGAGATGCATGCTGACCAGGGAAATTAAAAAGGTAACATACGTTGTGCTTTACTTTTGCTCGTACCATTTGCATTGCAGTGCTAAATGAGAGGTTTATCTTTTCAACTTAATATGAGGCAGTGTACTAGAGATGGAAATTTGTAAAAGTCTCACTTACACAGATTTTAGAAATAGTCTGACTTCTGTAATCCTCTGTTGCATTCTATTTCAAAAAAACAAAAACAGATAAATCTCGAGAACTGTGGCTCTGAGCATATGTGCTGGAACTAGGGGTATTGTAGCACCCCTTGCCTTGAAGTGGTTTCCATCATATACGGGGTTTACAGTTTGGTTCAATGACTCTCAGCACCTCCACTATACAAATAGTTTCAGCACTCTGTCTCTGAGCCCAAAGCGCCTGATTGGAAAAACAAATGTGCTCAGGGATTTAATTCTGAAACTCCCATTGAGGAGAGGGATTTATAGTAGACTTTCAGAAATCACATCAGGAGAGAGGAAGGCATAGCATTGTTCATAACTGCTCAAATATTTGGCCCAATCTGGATCTGCTCAGACTCCTAGAAATGCAGCTCACACTGGGCATGTGTGGCTTATCATATAAATTAATATAGTCACTCCTGTATGTACATTTAAAACATAGAGTGCTTTTGCTTTCACAGCCATTCTTCTTTATTATGATCCTACAAAAAACCTATAATGCTGAATGCGTGCCTTTATAAATATTTAAAAGGCAAAGGGGCATAATGTCACAGACACTTGATTATAATTTCACTGCAGAAGCAGTGGGTAAATATTATTTTTTTTTAATTATTTTTCCCCAAAACTTTTGGTTAAAATGTGTTTCTTTTTTGTCAAGATTTCAAATTTAGAAAGTTTTGAATCAAATTTAATTTAGAGAGAGAGAACTGAAATTCAAACAAGTAATACTAGCAAAGGAACAGACCAACATATTTTCATGTAATTTATAATTGATCACTTTACTGAACTAAGGAAATCTGTGCATAAAGTCTCCATAAAACTCAGAAAAATGACTATGCAAAATAGCAAACTTCTTACTCAATGCGTATTCCAAAGTCAATACAGCTATTGGTGGAGTGAGTTGGATACTGTTTGACCTTAGGAAACATCAGTAAAGTTGTGATAGCCAGAAAGACGTCTGCTTGGCTCCTGTGCTCAGGGTTGTGCTTACAGTTAATGAAACCATCCTTTTGTTGACAAATTTGACCGGGAAGTCATTGAGAGAATAGATAGTGAAGCCTCTTTCTACAGGGAAAGTTTTATGAACACATTTTTATTTCAATTATACCTTGGTAAATGAGATCATAATCTGACTGACTGTAATGGGCTTGAGGAAATTTGGACTTTTGCCAGTTTGTTGTTTGCAAAGACTCATTTCATGCAGCCAAATAACTGAAGAAACCAAAATCTCACACAACACAAATGCCTTACTATAGCTCTTCTCTCTTTCTCAGGGGAATGTTCCAACTCGTGAGAGCATCCATATGTATTACCAGAACCATATGATGAAGCTTTCTAAGGAATCAGGACTGGACACAATTGATGAAAATCCTGGTCAAGATTCTAGTTTACAGGCATCTGAGAGGATGGATAGTTTAGATTCAGCTGCTTCTCATGACAGTATTTCCAGGTATTTTGTTGTAAAAACAAAGCACTTGTTTTTGAATAGATAGAAAAATCATGTGATAGAAATTATGTTAAGAAATTGTTGCATAATGTTGGATTTCACATCTGAAGTTGAAGAACCCTTTGATTTATCAGATTTATCAGTCACTGTACAGTAGATAAAAGATGATCGGATTGACAGACCCATGTGTTTCCCTCTGTGCAAAAGTGCACAAAAGGAGCGAATTAATTCTTATTCTCCCAACTCGCCCACCAACCCCTCCCCCCACGCCCCCACCAGTCCACAGGACCTGGCTGGAGTGCAAAGTAGGCAGGGAGCATGGAGCAGAGCCCCAAAAGGAAGACAAAGCCAGGAATCTGAAGGGATCCTGGTCCCTAAGCTCATGGGTACTGGGCAGCTGCATGGATGATTCCTGTCTACACTCTGCAGTAGGAGCAATTGCCATGCTGTCATTGGCTCAGTGCTCTCAATTATGGTCTATGACTCTGCGGAGAGGAGTCACCGAATGCCACTCATGCTAGTGCTACCTCAAGCACCATTCTCTCTCCATTTGTCTGCAGTTTTGAAGGAGGTTTGGGGACATACTCCTTAGTGCAGTTCCCTCTTACCCTTGACCTCAGTCCTTTTCCTGCACAGCTGAGGGGCTGCATGGATATTTTGCAGGGGCAACACGGTCACCAAGCTCTGGGAGGAACATCTGGCTGAACTAATTTTCCTCTGCATGTCAGTACCAAATAACAAGCTTCTAGAGGGTTTTTGAACTATCTTACAGAGATTAATATACTGAAGACAGTTTCGTGGTATTTCACTTTGATTGTGAGAATAGGCACTGAATGAAGGAATTCCATCATTTATTACCAATGTTTTGTTCTGGACGATTAAATTCTAGTCTCCTGAACATAGCCTGAGTAAAAGGACTTTGTACTGGGAAACTACATGGGTTTGAGGGAATATAATTTTCCCTCACAAGACAAAGGCAACTGGGGGGCAGTGGCACATAACCCCATGTGTCTCCCCCCCCATGCCTCACCTCTGTTTGGAGGGGGAAATCCCCACCCCCAAAAAGAATTCTGCGGGAGAGGGGGCGTTTTCTGTGGGCACACAGTCATGCAGAATCCCCCCAGGAGTAAAAACCCACCTTCCCTTTCCGCACTTCCCTGGAGAGAGATGCTGCAGAGCTCAGTGCCAAAGCCTTAGCACATCCTTGCTGTTTCGCACATGCACAAACTCTCACTCATCCACTTCCCCGTGTTACAAGAACATCCTGTTTTCTCTGAGTCCAATGCATTTTTGACCTTTGAGATCCTGCAGAAGTTGTTCTACAGTGTCAGAAGGGGCGGGGGGGGAGACCTCTGATAATCTGATAGTTGCTTTCTGCAGTTTCTTCTTCTCTGAAGCGTGGCAGTAGCCTCTCACACTTGATACTCCCCTGCAAACTCAGTTGCTTGTATGTACAGTAACTCTGCTCAGCTTTTACTAATGACATATGGTCAGAGGTTAACAGGATAAAAATAGTGGACGGCTTGTCTTCCTTTCATAGTTTATTCACAAGTAAGTGTAACTGAATGTCTTGAACACTTACCTGAAATAAAAACGTGTAAGCAATGTGCATAAACAAAATACTCACAAAATTACCCAGCATTTCCACAGGCTGTAAAAAAAAAAAAAAAAAAAAAACACCAGGGTCAATGCTGGCACTCATAAGACATTCAATAGTTTACTGCAGTTTAACCGTCAAAATTCTTTATTTCATGGAGTAATAAAGCCAGCACACATTTCCTCATGGCTAACTACCAGGAGAAATAGCACCTGCATGTGTTGTCTGAAAATTCATTGGGGTCAGACAGTATAGGAAAAACATCATTCAGCCAAATTCTGCTCTCACCTGAATGCAAGACCCATTGACTTCACTTTGAGTCTCACATGGATATCTAAGTGGTAGAATTTGGCTCTCAGGATTCGTCTGCTCATTTAAAGAGAGAGTACTTATAGGTACAAAACCATTTTCATTAAATAATATTTCAGTCACGTTACCCAATATATACTGCACTGGTGTACAGTAGAAATTGAAATCAGCTGTTTAGCAGTGTGTAGTAGCAATATGGCAGTGTTAGCTGGAGTGCTGACAACAATGAAAGCCATATGTTGGGGCGGGTAATTTTGTTTTATAAAAGGAAGTCAGTTGCCAAACATAATTTAAAAAATTATGTAAATCTTGTAAATTCAATATTTGAATTCAGTCTCTGTAGTTAAATTGTATCCACTGTTGAGATCCAAGCAATTCTGGTTGGAATAACCTCTTTTCCTCCCACTTTCCTCCCCGCTAGCCCCAGCCTCCCTTTTGAGTGACACCTTACTTGCTCCTTTCAAATCTTTAGACTTTGATGGTGATGGTGAACCAAAGCTGGGCAAGAAGATAAATCATAATACCTATTTTAACAGTTGTTGTATACCCACTAATATAATCTTTGAAAAAACTTTGTTTCCCCCAAAATAAGATGTCACAAGGGCACATTAACAAATGAACAACAGAAGTATTGTCACCATTGATTCTCTAATCTCAAACTCTTTTCCTGGAAATAGATACTTACATGTTTGTGTATCAGTAGTGTTTGTGGAGTATGTGCATCTGCTGCATCACTAATGACCTCTAAAGGGAGGAAGCAATAACCAGTCACTTAGATCTAATGATAGATCTTCTGTCTGTTTATAAAAGCATCCTTGCCTGTCTCTTTCTGGATTATGAAGAGGTCTCATGAGCTGTTTTAGCAATGCAAAGTATTGCAGACCACAAGTGAGTGACATTTTGCATTGCCCAAACAACGGTGAGAGAACTTTATCATCTCAAAAACCTCACTCAAAAGCTCATCAGATTTTGCACCAGTTCCTTTGCTAATTTTTTTCCTTTGCTAAATATAGAGCTTGTCCTGTCAACAACAAGATTACTTTTTAAAATATGCCAATGTTTCTTAATTGTAAGGCCAATTCTATTCCAGTTGAAGTTAATGACAAAACACGAATTGACGTCATCAAGCGTCAGTTTGGGCTTTATATTTAACATGCTCTCATACACAGTTCTATTATTTTTGTGAAATCTACTGTTATACTCATATTATTTCTGTATTAGCCAATAAACTTTCTTTCCTACTGGTACTTTTCACTTCCAGTGAATCTGATTCAAATAATAATTTTTTAACCATTATATACCAATTCATTTCCAAGCCTCAGAGTGACTGAGATTAATCCCTGTTTCATCACTTGAAGATTAAGCAGTATCTGGATGCTCCGAGGGACAGTTTCCTCTATAATTAAGTTGTTGTTTAGGTCTTTAGTTTGTCCCAGTACAAAGTTTTCATTCTAGATGGTCAGTGGACCACATGTTTCTGGATTTTATTCGGCATATAAGTGATTGGTCTAATAAGGTGCTTAGTAATGGGTGGAAAAACTGGATGCTTATTTCAGAATTAAAATAATTAAATCTTAACTCAGTTTATACTCAAGCAAATGTCCATTGAATTCTATTGGAGTCTGCTTGACTATTTTCTGAAAAAGCAAACTAGGCAGTTACACTTTAAAATATCACACGCTGAAACATCTGTCTGGCTTCTATAAAGGTCCTGTCAGTAAAATTATCATATTAATTTTTTTTAATTTTTAAGGGGAAAATTCTTCTCTCTAATCAAGAGTGGATCTGTCCATTGTGGATCCCTATTGTATATTTGATGCTTTAGGCACTTTTGATGGCACTGGACATCTTAAATGCAAAGTGAGGACATTGTAGGCAGTGGAGTTTGGCACAGAAGATATGAGAAGACAATTTTGCCCTCTTATAACTAGTTGTTTCCTGTGCCCTGCCAGAAAATATTTCAAGCCAGCATCATAATGAACTCATTGCCCTTTATTTCCAGTTAACTTATTAACTAAATACCTTATGAATTTAGGTAAAATGGCTGGGAGCTGATAAAGTCCAATTAGTTGTCTTTTGTGGAATGCGGCCTAAGATTACAAAGGAATAGAGCAGGGGTGGCCAAACTGCAGCTCGCAAGCCACATGCAGCTCTTTTACCATTAAAGTGCAGCTCGCAGAGCCCTCCACACACACACACACCCATTGTCCACCTACCAGAGTTGGGGGGCGAGGAACTTGGGACCTCTGCCTTGCAGCGGGGTGGTGGGGTAGGGGCTTGTGCTCAGTGGGGAGCGGGGTCTCAGGGCTTCAACAAGAGCGGGGATGAAGCCCTGAGGCCCGGTAGGTGTGCCCCAGCTCTCGAACTTCTGAAGATTGTTGTATGCAGCTCAGAGGGTCAATAGGCTTGGCCACCCCTGAAATAGAGGGTAAAACTCTAGCGCCATTAAAGTCAAATGCAAAGCTCCAACTGACCTCTGCAGAGTCAGGATTTCACCTTTTAGATGTCAAAACAAGAATCAAATCCAGAATGGTATCCAGCACTTAACGAGCTCTTGCAGTTTCCTTTGACTTTAATAGGAACTGTGTGATGCTCAGGAGCTCTCAACAAACCTTTTCTTCATCCTAGAGTCTCCCACAATTCTGTTTCCTTCCCCTCTGCAGTTCTGTAGGCAGCTCAGTGTTGTAACACAGCCCCTGCTGGCCACGCCCCATTCTCCAGTTTGCCACCAGGCAATTTATTCCAAAGCTGTGTGAAAACTCCAAGAATGTTTTTAGTAACAATAACTTCAATGCCTATGTACAGTGATTAACTGGCCCATGAATTGTAGGTATTAAAATTTGGCTAATAAGTCATCCAGGAAAGGTAGCATTGTTGGAAATGCAGCTAGCAGAATGTGAAATTTCTTACCCAATCCTATCATTCAGAATAAAAACATCTATGCTAAATATATCCCCATTTGTAATGGATAGCTGATTAAGTTTATTTACAAATACTTTGACTTGGGCTTTTAATGCACATTTCAATTTAAAATACCTATTCTTTGAATGGTTTCAAAGAAGTTAATGCTTTTCAAAGTTTCTAGAGATGCCAATTTGAAAAGTGACCTGGAAGGATATGCCTGGATAAATGTGTGTGCTGGTTAGTGACTGAGTCAACACAAACTTTGCCAATTGTACATCGCAATATAGATCATATCCTCCTTACCAGCTTATTGGTGGTGTAGGTTGCTACACATTCAGAAGCACATTTACTGTGCTATGAGTATAATCTTGTGCCGCTTTCCAAACCTTGGAGGATTCTGATCAGCTGCTCAGTAGACGTAGATTTTCCTTCTGATCACTGAGCTGTTCTTTCCTTAAACATGTATGTAATCATAATCATTGCAATGACTAACTCAGGGCCTAATCTTGCATCTAAGTAAATCAGTAGTTGTTTTGCCATTGACTTCAACAGGAGCCGGATCAAGTCCTCCAGGTGGGGAGCAGTTGAGGGAAACTGGAATACATTTTTTCAATGAAAATTTACCAGTGGAGGCACTCCTTATGGTATAGGAGTCGGCTTTTGTTCCTGGCACAAGAGCTTGAGTTACTTATTTTCCCTTCCCTGTATCTCCCCACTGTTATTTACAAGACAACATGTCTACATACACACATATATATGTTTAGAGAGGAACTTGTAACTTTACAAGGTAATAACTATATTGTGGGTTAACTAAACACCAAAGTGAAAAAAGGAAATGGGCCATATTTTCAAAAGTGCTTGATTTCAATGGTTGTTAGATGCCTAATTTGCTTTAGATGCTTTTGAAAATCCCACAAGGTGCTTATTGCCTAAATACCTTTACAAATCTGCCTCTAGGTGCTTACAGAAAAGAAACCCAGCTCCCAACAAAGATGGTGAGATGGAGTTTGGATTTAAAAAGGACACTAAAATATCATTAAAAAGTACACAGTCTGCTGACAGCTCCCTGTAATTCAATACCAAAAACCTCATTTAAAGAATTAGAGCTAGAGTGCCCTATAGATCCATGTACAGCGTGGACCTTCCAGGTGCTCAATCCTACACCCACTGAAGTCAATGGGAAAAGTCCCACTGACTTCAGTGGTGCAGGATCAGATTCTAAGTGTGGATCACCCCTCATTGTTTAGGTGCTTTCTTTTCTCCCGTATGAATCTTAGAGACCCAGAGAGGAGACTGCCTGGATTAAAACTCCAAATAGTTCCCTCAACTCAGTTCATGCACATCTGCATACTTCATTCACAATTACAGCAAAATACATTGCGGTTACCTACCATATGTCATTAATGTATTTGCTTCCTTCCCATTGCTAATGTTTGTATTTACATTAGTGTTGTCTTTTTCATAACTCATCCACTTCTCATTTTATCCAATAGCATCCTGAATGTATAGTATATGCCTCTGTTGTCCCATTGTAGTGACAAGTGAAAGGAGATAAGGGTTTAACTGAAAATTTCCTTTCTTTGATATTGTGTGCTTTACAAATTTTGAAATAATGGGGGAAATACTTTTTAAATGACTCAAAATAAATAAAATTTTCTTAAAATGATTATCAATGTCAATATTATACAATATCATATTAGATACAAATATAATATTAGATACAAAATCAAAAGCAATGGTAATTATACTTGGCATTCATCAAGTGATTTGGCTCTTTTTGTGCTGAAAGAGGACTGGTTAGTATATGGAAGCTGTTTTTTCTATTAGTAGAACATGAGTGTTTTTTTAATTTTGAAAGCTCTTTTAGGAAATTGGCCTGCACCCATATAAAAGAATTCCACAGAATCTATTTTTAATAAAATAGATATTGTACAGAGGAAATCAGCTTCCAAAATGTTTTAATTGAATTTTTGGAATTTTTATTCAAAGTAAACAAAAGTAAAAACTCTCACTTGTACAAAGTTGTTGTCTCTAGGCAGTATGGAAACTTTGAGACTATATTGATTCCCATATCTATATGCATAGCGATTACATTTTATGATTAGTAGTTATGGCTTCTATATTTTTATAGTCACAAACCGGCTGTACATAAGAATTTGGTTTTGGTGGTGACTCTAATCAGGTCCTTATCTTCTCTCTGAACCTTTTGTCTTTGTGTCTGTGTTTTCTGCATGGCGAGCACATTCATTTACTGAATTATATATAAAGTAATGTCATTGGTATTTAACATTGTGTTTATAACTGTTTGCGCTGCTAGCTGCTACACTGAAGCAACCATGCTGTTCTCAAGGCAGTCAACCCTTGATGATTTAGATGGACCAGACACTGTTCCTAAAACAAGTGAGCGCGCTCGACCTAGGCTTCGTAAAATGTACAGCATGGATATGTCCTCCTCATCAGCTGACAGTGGCAGTATAGTGTCAAGGTGCTTAACTCATGCATGCTTTGTTCACTCGTTTACCCTGGCCATTCTACATGTGGCATTGTATACGTGTGCAGATGTGTGTGTTTAAAACAATTTGCATGCTTATTGGAAGCTTTATTCCCTTGTATATTGTGACAAGACTTTGAGGTACAAAAAAGTATCATAAACCAGTTACTTATTTTTTATTTTGCTTTTTTTTAAAAAAAAAAAAGTCCACTATTCTTTTATTCATTATAACTTGATCCGTAACTTTGACCTTTGACAGTTGGCTCCTGCATCCTGAATAAAAAAGGGACTGATTTTCAAAGGTGCTGAACCCCCAGCAGCTCCGATTGACTTCAGTGGAATTTATGGGAGCTCAGCTCTTCAAATGATCCAGTACCTAAATATGGATTTAGGAATCTAATTTTAGGCACCTATCTATGAAAATTTTGGCCAGGCTCCTTTAATTTTTAGTTACTCTCTTCATAGGAAAGAATTGTTAAATATATTTTGAATTCTCTTCCACTGATTTACAGACTCTGAAGTTTTGGAATTAAGACAGGGAAATTATTAAGAAAAGATAGCAAGCAATATAAATACTGAAAGAAACAACATATTAGAGAAGTGTTCCAGAGCTGTTCACTCAGTTTTGCAACTCAAGACTAAAATTGTCTACATTTTATATGGCTTCGGGATATAAAAGCAATGTTTCAAATATCACTTCAAAAATAAAATTGTATGGCATATTAAATCATTCTACTTCCATATTGCACACTGTTTTAGCAACTTCTGGGTGTTGATTTATTTTGAAATTCAGCATTTTACATTCTCACTCATTAATCATCTTTAAAGGAATTATTACTATTAAGAATCATCAAAATGTACATTCAAGCAACAGCTACCATCAGTTTACTTCTGAAAACTCTCACTAGAAGTTAAAAGGTGACATAACATAGCTACAGTAAGTTTGAAAGTGGTTTCAAAGGAAAAGGGTATAGAAAGCTATTTTGAATTTTAGCAGGAGGTAGTATTGTCCACTGGCTTTTACAATAGCAAGTTTATTTTATATATATATATATATTGGGTAAAATCCTAGTGAAGTCAAAGGAAGCTCTACTATTACCGGCCAGTATTTCAACCTCTGTCTCTTTGGCGAGCTGTAAAACCCATGTTGTTCTTTTTATTATCTGATTGTTGGAGCTGGGGTGGGGGCTAACAGACATATGGGAACAAAAAAAGAGAAGAAACTAGGAATAAGGGAAGAGTGGAGCATAACCAAAAGAAGACAGAAAGCAAAGCAAGGACAGGAAAGTAGCTGAAGCGGGATAGCCAGATTCTGAGGCTACGTCTTCACTACGGGGGGGGTCGATTTAAGATACGCAAATTCAGCTATGCAAATAGCGTAGCTGAATTCGACGTATCGCAGCCGACTTACCCCGCTGTGAGGACGGCGGCAAAATCGACCTCCGCGGCTTCCTGTCGACGGCTCTTACTCCCACCTTCGCTGGTGGAGTAAGAGTGTCGATTCGGGGATCGATTGTCGCGTCCTGATGGGACGCGATAAATCGATCCCCGAGAGGTCGATTTCTACCCGCCGATTCAGGCGGGTAGTGTAGACCTGCCCTCAGTTAAGTCAATGAGCTGCACCAATTTACACCAGCTGAGAAGCTGGTACAGAGAGAAGCAAACACAGAGTGGTGTCAGGGAAGATGAAAAACACATAAAGCAGAGTAGAGCTTTGTCAAGCAAGGTGGAGAAGCAGAGAGATAGGTGAGCAGATAAGACTGAGTAAGAACAATGTGAAAAGAGGGGAAGTACACACAGAAGAGGAAAGAAGCAGGTAAGCCAAAGAAGTGAAGAAGAAAAATGTAGAGTGATCTGAAGGTAAGATACCATAATACCCTGCTACTCAAACAGTTATTTACTCTGGATGGCACTACTCCATGTTTGCAATTGGCCTATCCTTTCATATAGATATAGCATGAAACATGAGGGGATAGATTCTGTGTGTCCAACTGAATTTTGCCTGCAAGCTGCAGTTTTGAAATGATGAAGCTATGATTGTTAGAAATGTTACATTTACAATGAAGTGTATGCATTCCTATATTATACTGTAGCATCATGCAGCTCACTTGGAACAAATGTAGAAATATGCTCTAGTTGTGTTTAGAATTTGTTTGTTCTAAGAAAATTGTGTGCAAATTCCCTCTTTGTCAGCATTAATTTGTCTTGGTTTGGAACTGTATTGAATCACTGCAAGCTCAACAAGCAATCACTCCGTGTGCACATGGATCAGTGTTTTTTATGTGTAAGGAAAAGGTGACAGCAGTACATCTTCTGCCAACTGCAGTGCATTTTCAAAGTTTGGGAGCAGAGTGAGGGCTTGCCAATATTTCAGCCTCAAAACAAAGTTAACAAAGTTTTCTGAGTAATTGTGGTAAGAGAGAAATCCTTTTTTTCCCTCCTGTTCCTGACAGTGAACCTACCCAGGTCACCATGCTGTATTCTCGTCAGGGCACAACAGAAACCATTGAAGAAGTAGAAGGGGAGCATGAAGAAGAAGGGGAAGGTTCTACATCAAGACGAGAGGATGAGGTGGATGATTATGGCTTGGATTCAGAAGGAGCTGTGTACACTCCTGATACTGACGTGCCATCATACTCTGCTGTGGATGGCAATGCCGAAGTCCCACCTTCATACAGCAAAGCTGTCAGCTTTGAGCATCTTTCCTTCAGTTCCCAAGATGACTCTGCTGGCAAGAACCTCATGATGGTGAGCCCAGACGACAGTCAAATTGACAAGCTACATGATACTATCCTCCCTCCATTGACACACGACCTGACTGCCAGTGAGCTGCTTCTAAACAAGTAAGAAACTTTAGAGAAGAAAAAACTTAGTCTTTGAAGTTTTCCTAAATACTTTAATTCCTGTTTTAGGAGGTGTTTTCTGTCTAACTACTGCTGTTATTAGTGAGGATTTTTCTCTCAAAAATTGGTTTTAATTGTGGGGCTTTCTCTCTCTAATTGTTTTAATTTTATTTGGGAAAGGTCCTTCCTTCTAAAATTACCTGGAAAAAAAATCTCTGCTTCTCCCCCAACACACACTTAGTTAATAGCTCCATTGCCATTGGATTTCTGCAGTTGAAATCCAATGGCAATGCTGCACTCCTTCATGGGCTGCAGCATACTCCCCTCCCCACCATGCAGCCAACAAGTTATGCTGGCCAGTGCTTGGGAGTTGGAGCCAATAGCTCTTCTTTCTCATCTTCCTTTGTGACATCATTCTTCCAAAGGATGGTAAGGAGGGAGACACTGCAGACTGCAGACACTGAAATTCTGCCCAGCCCTTATGCGGGCCACATAAGATGTGAAAAGTCTCCTTATTCTTTCCTTTACTACAGTGCACTTGCATTAGGGCCAGGCAGAATCTCCAATCCCAGAAATGATCCCATCAGCTCAGTTAGAACTGGACCAAACGGCACCACACTGCCTGAGCAAATCAAGTGCTTTTTCTTCTATGCTTCCATGTCCCTTTGTTTTTCCAGTATTCAACCAAATCTTTCCATAGGCTGGAACATTTGAAGTGTTGACAAGACAAAAAAAGCTCTTCTTTTATCCTGTGATTGTGCAGTGCCTAGTACAGTGAGGTCCTGGCCCATGACTAGAGCTCCTAGGCGCCACTGTTGTACAAACAATAATAAATAAATGACACTCATGAAAAGCGGAGAGATTTAAATCTATGTGAGTTCATGTCATAATTTTACACTTGTCATAATTTTATTATGTTTTTAACATCAACTTGTTTTTTTTAACAACAGTAGGGTTTACCCAAACAGTCAAAGGAGACAAGGCACATCTGGTGGCCAAAATAAAAGTGGCATTCATTCTTATCTCACTTACAGTTACACTGGTGTGAAATTAGTGTACTGACTTTTAATGGAGTTATTCCTGATTCCTGGTATAAGTAGATCAGAATTGGATCCAATGGCTCACTACCAGAACATGATTTGCAGATGAGGTGCAATGATTAGGTGTTTATGGGCAAGCTGATTGTTTTCATGTATTAAATACCAAACTAGCACTTCCAAATGGTTTATTGTAAATTGTTGTTGGAGCTTTAATGTTACATGAATTTGTTTAGCATCAGGCCATATTACATATATTTGTTTAGAATACCAAATTCTGTTCATGTTTACAGATTTTCCAACAGAATCTGCAACCATTATAAAGGAGAAAACAGTAATAATAAAAATCAGCTCTCGTGAATTTCATATTGATGTCATTCATGGAACTCTTCTTCTCACAGGATGTTTCGTGATGAAGAGCTGGAGGAATCCGAGAAATTCTACAGTGGTCAGCCTCGACTATTGCTTCTCGTTTATGCTCTGTATAATACACTGGTGGCCCGGTCAGAAATGGTGTGTTATTTTGTGATTATCCTTAATCACATGATCTCTGCCTCCATGATTACTCTTGTGCTTCCCATCCTTATATTCCTTTGGGCCATGCTGTCTGTCCCCAGGCCCAGCAAACGCTTCTGGATGACAGCCATTGTCTACACTGAGGTATGCCATTACTGCTACATCCTTATTTGTCAAACACATTGGGAACAGATAACATGCTTTTTTGCAAAGAAAAGTGAATAATAAGCCACCCAGGGCAGGAATTGTCTCTTTTCTCTGCTTTTACATCTCTCCTTTGGGCATTATAATACAAATATATACTAAAAATAACATCCTTGGGCATTGGTGTGATAGGTGAGAGGCGATTGTTTGATTTTTCAGTGCTGCACTTGGCTGACTTCCTTCTAGTTATTAAAAGGCAACACCTACTAATAGCTACCATCTAGTGGTACCCACGATACTGCAGTGACTGCCTATTGTATTTATAGGAAGATAACTGCGGTATCTCAAATGCCAGTGGGTGGCCCGCGTTGGTCAACACTGATTTTTTCATGGCGACCCCTCTAATTGGAATGTATGAAAACATAATTAATCTAATTTTAAAAAAACCCATGAAATAGTCACATGGTATTTCATGTGACTGACATGAGGCTACTTGTTCTGTCAGTTGAATGGTGTTTGGATAATTGTTCTCGATACGTTGTTCCTGTACAGGTGACCATTGTTATCAAGTACTTCTTCCAGTTTGGCTTCTTTCCCTGGAATAAACATGTGGATTACACCAAAGATAAACCTTACCATCCGCCCAATATTATTGGTATTGAAAAGAAAGAGGGTTATGTGCACTATGACCTTGTTCAGCTCCTTGCTTTGTTCTTCCATCGATCCATTTTAAAGGTAAACTGAGATAAAAGGCATGTCTTTATTTTATTTAATTTTTATAGTCATTCCTATGACTCTTCAGCACAATGAATTTGTCTTCACAGTACCCCGTGGGGTAAAATGTTACTATGCCCATTGTACAGATGGGGAAACTGAAGAACAGAGAGATTGTGTGACTTGCCTAGTATCATACAAGATAGCTGTGGCAGAACAAAGAATAGAGTGGAAAGCTTCTGGTCCCACTCTGCAAGGCCATTCTCCCTCTCTGTCCCTTGTTAATCAATGTTTTTTGCAGGTTTACTTACAGGTGTTGAGTTAATATTGCTTTAACTTTTTTGGTTAAGTTACTTTATTTAAAAATGTATTTGCCATTTAAATTGTGAAGACTCCATTTTCTAAGGAAATGTTTGGCCTTGAAACTCATTAAAAGCCTAAAGACATCTCAACAAAAAAATACTGATCTCATTGCTCACTTTGCAGATAGTACGTCCCCAAAGGTAGGCAAAGTGGCCATTTCTTATATTTGTTGTGTCCATAGCAATGAGTGAAACATTTATTTGTCCTTTAGAATTTTTTGATTTATTAATACAGTCAAATCTTAATTGTCCAACACCAAGCAACTAAAACTCTTATATGTGAACAATAGATATGACACCTGAGATTTGACTTCAGCGCACGTCTTTTTGGGCTGCTCAGGCGGTATTGTTTTCTTTCATACTGAAATACTTTAATGACATTTGTATGGATGGACAATCGATCTTTTTTTTTTCTGGAAATGGCATGAAAATGGAGGGGATAATTAAATAAATAAAGGTATCCTATCTCCTAGAACTGGAAGGGACCTTGAAAGGTCATTGAGTCCACCCCCCTGCCTTCACTAGCAGGACCAAGTACTGATTTTGCCCTAGATCCCTAGGTGGCCCTCTCAAGGACTGAACTCACAACCCTGGGTTTAGCAGGCCAATGCTCAAACCACTGAGCTATCCCCCCGAGGGATGTACGGTTTAAGTGAACCAAGGAAAATATCATGGAAGGGGATATATTTTGATGAAATCCCTGATTTTATGGCTTTATGATTTCATTCATAATTTTTTCCCAAAAACCTAAGGAAAGTTCTGCCCTACACATAATAACGTTGCAGAATTTAAAACTGGTACCCACTACAACACAAATATAATAATATCTCTAACTAGATTTTTTCTAAAATGGACATTAAGTAGGAACTTCCTTTGCCTCATTAGTGTCCCAGAAAACATACTGATATTTATTATATCCCTTTAATCAAACTTAGGGGGAGGGATAGCTCAGTGGTTTGAGCATTGGCCTGCTAAACCCAGGGTTGTGAGTTCAATCCTTGAGGGGGCCACCTAGGGATCTGGGGCAAAATCAGTACTTGGTCCTGCTAGTGAAGGCAGGGGGCTGGACTCGATGAGCTTTCAAGGTCCCTTCCAGTTCTAGGAGATAGGATATCTCCATTTGATGACTTCAAATAAAAAAAGGGGATCTGAGCCTTATAAATATCAGAATAGAAAGATAGGAAATGCTCGTAATTAGATAGTCTGTCTTGCAGCACAATAAATATCACCCTAACTGAAATACAAGAGTGACATGCTTTTCTTCTTTTCTCCACTAGTGCCATGGGTTATGGGATGAAGATGATGAAGGTGAAAGCTGCAGTAGTAAAGAGGAATATGGTGATGAGCTCTCACTGACGGCAGACAGGAGAGATTCTGCTGACTCTTTAAAGTCAGTGAACCTTGCAGCTTCTGTGGAGTCCATACATGTCCACTTTCCAGAACAGCAGACTGCCATCAGGAGAAAAAGTTCCAGCAGTGGGTCACAGCTTTCACACAGATCCAGTTTCTCCTCACAGAGGTCAAAGAGAGGTATGTGTCACAGCACTACTGGGCCTTGAAAACCAGTAGCTCAGTTCTGATTAGATGATTCTCTTGAGACCTTTGATGTATTTCTGTGGAGAGCTCAGAAAATATTTAACACAACAGCTGCTTTGTGAGAATAGGAAATATGTGAAACAAAATACCGGATACTTATAGCGATGGGCCCAACCCAACACCCAGGGGTGAACTCTCTCAACTTTGATGAAGTTCAGATCCAGATCCAAGCACTACAACCAGCACTTTCCCTATAATTTGCTGGAACTGAACATTCCAAATCTTTGGGAAGGTCCAGATCCAAACTTTATGGCCCAGCACCATCTCTAGTTAGCAGGAGTTCATAGTGAACTTCTTATTTTTGTTAACATCTGAGTTCATATGGTACCTGAAGTGAGAGAAGTATTGATTTGTGATATTGTGACAGACTACCTTCCCTATCTCCTGAAGAGGAAGACTTTACTATAGTTTGTATATATATATCCAAATCAATATCACAAAATCACAAATCTATCTATCTATATCTGTATATATATACACACACACACCATCCTGGCAACTGAAGCAGGCCAGTCACATATCAGTTTTGGTGCCAACTCTTTTTTTATAGTCATATTAAGTCAAGTTTTGATTCAGCCAGTTGTCAAGTCTATGTCAAACAGTCAAGACTTTACTATATATGTATATATTAAAAAAAGGTATAGGGCTTAATTTAAAAACCTCTTAAATGTGCAACTTATTTACACAGGTTATACTCTGTGATTTTAGTCCTGTATTTTTATCTAAACTTTTATTTTAATTGGATGCTTGCTTTCTTGTTTTCTTCCTCCCACCCTCATTTCCAGGGAGCACCAGTACACGAAACAGCAGTCAGAAAGGAAGCAGTGTATTAAGCATTAAGCAAAAATCTAGAAAAGAGCTTCTTATGGAAAAGTTTCGAGAACAAATGATCAAAGCAAAGGCATTTACAATTAAAAAGTGAGCAAATTTTCTCTAGGGGATTGGGGACGTGGATAGGGGAAACGTCAAATTATAGTGAAATAACTTTTTAAGTAACTAAGAATATGCTATTCTTAGTAAAAATAAGTTATAAAAGTAGAAATGTATCAGCAGACTGGATGGTTCAGTAGATACAGATACAGATGCTTTCATGCTAGGTCACCAGTTCACACCTAAACAAAACAACAGCGGCTTTCGAAGTCCATTTGAAGGCTAATTGTTGTCTTGTGTGAATGAGTTGGTCGACTAAGTGAATTTCCTAGTGGCAAGTGTTTGCAGAACATTACAAAAACGGCCAACACAACAGGTAATAATTGGTTTCTGTAAAGCACCGTGGACCCCAAAAGTGAAGTTTATAATTAAGCAAATTAATAATATCAGCCCCTTCCTTTTGTATGCTTAGGAACGTGAGTTCAAGGTACTTGTGTTAAATCAGGTTGTGGTGTATGTTGTTTCAGGACTCTTCAAATATATGTGCCCATCAGACAGTTTTTCTACAATCTCATTCACCCGGAATACAGTGCTGTGACTGATGTTTATGTGCTGATGTTCCTCGCAGATACTGTGGACTTCATCATCATTGTGTTTGGGTTTTGGGCTTTTGGGGTATGTTATGAGAGGCTTGTTCTGTAAATCCTCTTTCAGAATCTTGGCCACAATTGTGAAATACCATGTTGAATTTGTTATCCCGAAGTTATTGTAACGTTTTCCTTCCCAGAAACATTCTGCTGCAGCAGATATCACCTCTTCATTATCAGAGGACCAGGTACCAGAGGCATTCCTGGTGATGGTGCTCATTCAGTTTGGAACAATGGTGGTAGACCGAGCACTGTACCTTAGAAAGACTGTCATGGGAAAAGTCATCTTCCAGGTCATTCTTGTTTTTGGGATACACTTTTGGATGTTCTTTATCTTGCCTGGAGTAACTGAAAGGTAAACCCATTAAAAATAAAGCATAAGAGTTGAATAACATCATTTTTCAAGTTTATTCCTAATTTAATTTGAGTGAATTACAGCTAAAGACTGAATCACAAACAGGTTTCTTGATCTCATTCCTAAACGGATTGTTTAAGTACTTTTTCAGAATAATTAGTGCGCAGATATGGAACTGCTTGAATGGGGAAAAGACCGAGCTATATAAAACCATACTGAATTAGAACTGCCTTTAGGGCAATAATTTTGTAGTTAATGTATCATGAAGATCTGGACACAGAGTACTAAATTCAATTTTGAGTTTAAGGAGTCAGAGCTAATATAATGCAAACTCGTGGGCCATCCCTGCTTTAATGAACGCTTCCTAACAACCTCCTGTTTCCTGTAATAGCTCTATTTCCACCCCACCCCCACCCTCAACATTAAATACACAGCCTTATTAAAGCTATCAGACAGCTATTGATTATTGGGTCATAATTTGTCCCAGCAACTAATGAAAAAGTGCAAACTTAAAATTCCAAGAGAGTTGCATTGTACCTTGCAAATAGTGATAGAATAGTTTACTGAGGAAAAAAATTGATTCATTACATGTGAAGAATACAAACAAATTAATTAGAAAAGACCAAAAAAAACCTCCTTTGCACTTAAAAATTGTCCTTGAATGTATTTATTATATTTTTCCGAGTGCAATAGTAATTACAGCCATGCTTGAATAAAACTGCTATTCTCCCAGTGACCTCCTACCTCAAAAGTTACTGAGCACTGAAAAGGGAGAGAAAACCCAAGTTTGGGATTGTCAGTTTAATTTGTTGTTTAAAAGAAAAGGCAACAAAATCCCTCTTGATCTTTACCCTGCCTTTAAGAAATATGTATCTCATAATCTTGAATTTGCATTTGAAACCTGTCCGGGTCAGTTTAAATCAAACTGATCTCTATAAACCCATGAAAGTTCCTTATCTACAATAGTTTTCCAAAACAACTCAATGAAAACATTGGGTCATATCTTGTTCCCCAAACACTGTCCTTGGTGAGGAGTTCACAGCATGCTGCTGAGCTGTAATCATGCTTAAGCACATTCCAAGAGGGACCGCTCCACTTCTGAGATGCCCACATCAACAGCTCCTTCCCAGTTGACTGAGCAGTTTACGTGGTCTAAATCAGCATCCCTGGTAACTGAGAAACGGAGGTAGATCCCAACCTTCAGTGTCTCTCTCACACATTTCAGGGACCCTGATCCCTGTCTCTGATCCTTATCATCACTAGAGGTACAGTAATACTTGCAGGCTTTACTGGGAGAGAGGCAAGACCAGAATCCACAGTGTTGCTTGTAGAAGGGTGAGTAACTCATTTGCATGTGTACCCCATCCATCCTGCTGCAGCTTCACATCAAGCTGCTCAAGGAATGGACGTGGGTCTTCTCCACTCTCCATGAGCACACTGGATCAGCCACTGGAAGCTTCAGCGCAATGAACAGCAGTTGAAACAGCTGTACAGTGCTACTGTGTTGCTTACAGCCCTGCAAACACGAGTCAGGATTTAGCCCAATTATATGGATTTTTGTTATTAAATATCTACACTTTCAGGTGTAGTTTTTCTCTAGAGCTGGGTGACAGCCACAGAGAGACCTGAACCAGGGATCGATTGCAGGTTTTCATAAATGAGGAGCTGAGAGATGTGCAGAGCATTTTGGATTAATTTTGTAGAACATAGATATAAAGCTCATGAATTTTTTTTATCTCACCTTTTCATTGCAGGAAATTTAGCCAAAACACAGTTGCCCAGCTCTGGTATTTTGTGAAATGTGTTTATTTTGGGTTATCAGCATATCAGATACGTTGTGGTTACCCAACCCGTGTTCTTGGCAACTTCCTCACCAAAAGTTACAACTATGTAAACCTCTTCTTATTTCAAGGGTAAGTGTATTCCCTCTCGCTCTCAGCCACCCTTGTACATATGTAGTATGAAGGTTTAATTGTCACTTAGAAGGCCTCATTATTCATGACTTAGTTCTGCAGGTCATTGCAAATGTGTGCTAATAAAACCTTTATTGCATATCATACCACAATATATAATATATTATCATATCATCATACCACCACAACTATTTTAGAAATGTTATCTGCTCTTTAAATCTATGAACCTTCCTTGTCATGAGCCCAACTATGCAGACCTCTAAGGGAGAGAAAAAATGTAATTAATCCATTTTTAGAATTCTAACAATTACCTTACATAGTTTACATAAAAATCACTGTAGTGTCCTATGTCCCTGGACTTTCCAGGTCCAGAAACAAGTACTGTGTGTCCTGTTGGAAAGTTTGGACTCTCCACTTTTCCAAAAGTTTAAAATGCTCTTTCTAACCCTGCAAAGTGGTAAGATATCAGACCTTAAACCTGTCACTGGACTCGCACCTCATACCAAGAGCCTTGAGTGGGAAATAACACATGGGAGTGTTAAGGAAATATTTGTTGTAGTAGAAAGGATCTTTTAAAAAAAATAGTGTGTCTCAAGCTGCTCAGAGATATGGAATATTAGTAGTTATCCTTGGAGAGATGGATCAGTGGGCAGAATGCAGGGGAGAAAATAAAAGTACACGATACTCTGAATGCAGTGCATAAATATTGCCATCACATATATACTATGAAATAGCTATAATATGAGCCGCACATGATTTCCATGTAAAACTAGTGATGATGTTTTTAAATGTCAAAAGTGTGGTGAGATGAATCATAACATTTTAAGACTACATACAGGCTCTTCAGCCCATTAAAGAGGGACTTCCATGTTGGAGAAATTCAAATTTAAACTTGCCTAAATCATTCATATTTTAGTTGTTTCTCATATTTTGTTTACCATTATTGTTAATTATTACTGACTGTGAGTCTGAAAAGTCTTGGGGTTCTGTGCTTGCCAGCTAAACAGTTCATACCATAATCAAATTTATCACAATCCCTTTGTTCTAATAATCCAGGCTTTATTCCAAGATTTTTAGTATGTACTGGTTACAGTCCAGCTAGAAAAATCACAGAAATAGCTTTCCTCGCACTATAACAATGTTTCTGGTTTGATTGGGACTAGAGGGAAGAAAGTGGAAAGGTGGGTAAATATTAAATAAATCAGTTTTAATTAAAATATTTTTAAAAGGTAACCAAACAATTTCTGACCCTCAGAAAGTATTCAAGTTGCGCAAAAGGTACTGTGCGTACTCACAGCCCAGCTTCTCCTGTTGATCCTACAGTAAAATCATAAGGCCAGGTTCTCTACACAGTTACAGCCCCTGCACCAGTCTGTGCAAAAGTACCATAAAGCAAATGGCAAGCAGAGAATTCCCTTCCAAGTGAACTGCAATCTGGTCTTATATCCGTCTCTGTCTTCCCCTCCCAGTTTAGGAGATATGGCAGAAAGGAAGAAGGGGGGCTTTGGCCCAGCAGAGAATCTATCCCATAAAGTTGCATCTGTGATGCTGCCATCACACCCATGATTATTGATTACAAGTGACATAAGTGCATGTTTGACTTCACTACAGGATTATTAAAATATGATGAACATCAGTAATACCCAAGCAATCCCAGAAAATGACTAAGTGCAATTGTTTTCACATTCGTGTTTTCTGTTTTCAAGTCTGAACCCCTCCATTAAGCTTTTTGATATTTAACATTTGTGTAATTTTCCCACACATGGTGTAATTATAAGACTCACTAAAAATTACCTCTGTTCCTTAATTAGATACAATGCTATACTTCATTACCTCACTGTAAGATAGTTCATCTACTATACTGTCTCTCCTTTTAGATTCCGTCTGGTTCCATTTTTGACTGAGTTGAGAGCAGTAATGGACTGGGTTTGGACTGATACCACTCTGAGCCTTTCCAGCTGGATCTGCGTTGAGGATATTTATGCTCATATATTTATCTTGAAATGTTGGCGAGAGTCTGAAAAGGTAAGAAAGCTAAGCAAGTGATTTAAGCCTATTTTTTACACCCAAAGTTAATTGTGGCAATAATGAAGAAAAGCTGCCCATTTATGAGTTCCTGAATAAAGAAAAATATATCAGAAGGCCAGATTTCTGTCAGAGAGGCCTAAGGTGCATGTGCAAAAATGTTCATCCAATTGTGTGCCTGTCTCTGTGTGCAATTACTTCAGATGAAAATTTGAATGGCTTTCTGGCATCTAACTTCTCGTTTGTGCCTAACTAATTTTCCTTTCATGCATATGAGTTCTATGTAAAATCATGGTAATTTGTGTCTGCAAACATAGATACTCAATTGTAGACCTAGATTTCAGGGGTGGATTTAAGAATAAGACAAGGTAAGCAAATGAACTCAGGTTGTCCAGAGTTGGTGGAGGAATA